TCCATAAATCTATTTAGTTTGGCTACCGAGCTAAGCATCGGCATTGGCACCAGGCATAGGTCAGTTCATTATGCAAATCCCACACGTTGATCAATTCGCAAAATAAATTTCCTCAAAAATATTTCTTCTTTTATTTTTTTTTCTCGTTTTTGGTTGGTTTATGGCTATTCATAGTTCGAAACTGTGACCCGATGGCTTAATTAGCATAAGATGCTGTAATATTCGAGACTCTTTATTAACATATATAGCATGATATATGGACAGTTAATGTTGTCTGTGAACTTAATGATTGCAATTAAAAGCAATGTGAAGCGACGCCGCGACGTCTGCCAAAATCTGTGTCAGCAAGTGCGCCAGCAACAGCAGCAGCAGCAGCAGCAATCAACAGCAATAACAACAGTTATAAACAATAACAACAACCACAAAGAGAGTTAAAAACAATAGCATTTGCCACAAGTGCTGTCAAAAGACTTCGCACAGCTTCCGTTTTAGACATCTGACGAACTGTTTTGACAGCCTCAAAGTTGTGACAACGATGCCATAATCATTATCTCAACAGAGATATATATATATGTATATAGCTTGATCTTTTGAGCTCGCATTGCACATACGCGCCACTTGGTCTACATGCAGAGCCTTTGTTTCTGCGAGTTTCACTTTGAGCCCGCGATTATTACTCAATTATAATAAATCAAATGTCAGCGCCCACAAAGCTCCGACATTTGCAGTCAATAAAAACAGCGAAATAAAAAATAAAATCGTTGCTAGAAATTATTATTTTCCTCTTCTGCTGCTGCTTTTATATTTTTGGAAAGTAAAGCAAATTTTATGTGCCGGCAATGCCAAATGTCAAATGCCAGACGCCGCGCGGGGCTGGGGGCAGGAGGCGCGGGCACATCGGAGGCGATCCATAAAATAATTTCACTTCCAGTTTTCAGTTGCATTTGGCAACGAGCCTAAGCAGCTGACAGACAGATGTGGGCGTGGGCGTTGCTGCAGCCGGGCCAACAGACAATGCGTTGTTCGCCGTGTTATGATCCATTGTTGGTTATGTAGATGAGCGGACTGTACGAGCTGTTGGTGCTGTAGCAGCTCACGCATTGCTTTCTTTCAAGTCGTCTCGGACTCGCTGTCAATCTCTTTCTCTTCCGATACACCTCTCTCTCTCGCTCGCTCGCTCTCTGCGATCTCTCTTACTTATATATTGTTATTATTAGATATTGTTTTCTCTCTATCTCTGTCTTAGATATATTTCGATTTCTCTCTCCCTTTTCATTCTACTTTAAGCTTCTCCACTTCCTTCTCCTCTCTCTCTCTTTCGCTCTCTCTCTGCGATCTCTCTTACTTAGATATTATTATTATTATTATATATTGTTTTTTTTTCTATCTCTGTCTTAGATATATATGGATATCTCTCTCTCTTTCTCTCTCTCTCTCTTTTCATTCTACTTTTAGCTTCTCCTCTTCCTTCTCCTCTCTCCCTTGCTCTCTCTCTCTCTCTTTCTCTAGTTATGTCTATATCATTTTAACACTCTCAATCATCTTCTCTCAATATTCTTCTCTCACTCCTCTCTTTCTCTCTCTTTATCTTTCTATCTCTCTTTCTTTTTGTTTATCTTTCAATATATCTCTCCTACATATCCTTATATCTTTTTCTAGCTACCCTAAGATCTATCTGCATCTCTTTCTTCAACTCGCTCTTCTCACTTCTTCTTCTTCTTAAGGCACTTAAAATTATATTTTTTCATTCGTTCATCTCTGCAGAATCTTCATAGATTTTAGAAGACTTCACACAATCATCAACATTTTGCTGCCAAATTTTAATGCACTTTTCTTTTGTTTAAACAAAGTTCGATTTATTTATTGATAAAGCTTTTTTATTATTTTATTTCTATTTTTATAACTTCGCTTATGCCTAATCAGCTTCACTTTTTGCGAAAAGGCTCTCTTCATAGGTTGGTGGCGGGGAATACGCGATGTGTGTCTGCTGCGCTTTCATTGCAGCCGCAGGCGGGCGGCTTTTGAGTGGCAAACTTGGGGCAGGGCGCGTTGCACGCCGCACAGTTGAGCTGGGCTCGAGCGGCGCGGGTTGGCTCAATTGGGTTCTGTTCGTGTGTGAGTCCTGGCTGTGGCTGCAGCTCGCCTTCACTTTAAAGTAGACAGCGGCGAGCAGCATCAGAATTGTCCAACTGCAGACGGCGAGGAGCAGGGCCATGGCCATAGTAATTCCCACACAGGTCCCCAATGCAAGCCTGTCCCACTTAACCGATTTCAAGCAAATAAGGAAAATCGTGGGCGCCATCAGCAGCCAGTAGAGCACTACCAACAGCCACTCCAACCTAGTCAGGATCATTTTGAGCACGTTCGATCCGCTCAACACGAGAGCAACGACTAGACGAATTCGATTTGATATTTGATTACTGCTAATTATAATTTCAGCTGACTTATTCTACTTGACGAACTGCTGGAGGTTTCTTTATCGCTGTGGTTTACTTGTTTTATGAAATCATATGAAATGAAATCATTTTATTTCCAAAAGAAACACAAATTTCACGTTACTTTGCTTATACTTAGAATAAATTTGTCTATTAATAAGTGGATGTAAATATGAATATAAATAGGAAGTTTTGGGTTTCAGTGGTATGTTTATTTATTCAGATAGATATATTTATTATTTAGGTTTTTAGATATATTTAGATTTGGAACTTCAGAAAAGACTTGATTCGTACCCGAAGTGAGAAGAGCTTAGTGGCTTTGTGCAATGTTTGACTAATTGTCTGTCCGTCTGTCCATCCAGCCGTTCGTTTCTACACTCGTCTGCTCGTTCCTCTGTCTGTCAGTGAGTCTATCCATCTGTCTATCGGTTCATTCGTCCGTCCGTCCGTTCGCCTGTCTATCCGCTCGGCCGTTCTTGCATCGGTACGACTCGTCTGTTCGTCCAGTCAGTTCGTCTATCCATCGGTTCTTCCGTCCGTCCGTCCGTCCGTTTGCGTGTATATCCACCCGTCCGTCCCTCCATCCATTCGCTTCTACACTCGTCTGTTCGTTCCTCTGTCTTTCAGTTAATCTATCTATCTGCCTATCGGACCTTCCATCCGTCCGTCCGTTCGACTGTCTATCCGTCCATCTGGCCCTCTATCTGTTCGTTCGTTTGCCCGTCGGTTTGTCCGTCCTTGCATCGGTACGCCTACACTCGTCTGTTCGTCCATCTGTCCGTCTTTTCGTCTATCCATCGGTTCTTCCGTCCGTCCGTTTGCGTGTCTCTCCGCCCGTCCGTCCCTCCATCCGATCGCTTCTACACTCACTCAGCAGTCCGTCAGCTCGTCTGTTCATGCGTCCATTCGTCCATCTCTTCATCTGTGCATTCGTCCATCCGTCCTTTCATCTGTCCATGTCTCTGCTTAAAGCATGTTGCTGCTATATACTGGTTGGTATCGTTAGCAGATCAACTGCAAAGATGATTTGCTTGCGCTTGCGAGACGTGTGCCGAGTAAGACTATATCTGGCATAATAGAGATGCTGTTAATTAGGTTTCTAGCTACGTAAAGTTTGTGCTCGTCTTTAGAATTTATGACTAAAAATATATATAACAACTATATGTCTGTTATGTCTACAAGATGAGCACACAGATTTGGGACGCAATCAATGCTGAGAATTGGCAATTTGTGTTGACAAGCCTCCTTCAAAAATCTTGAGTAAATATGTCTATGTAAATTCAGTGGCAAATCGGGTAAAACTGCATCTTCTACAGTTGGTTGAGGTATTCTACAGATCAACCAAAAAATCTCTATGCTACATGGAAAGAATTAAATATTTCAGTTTTTGCTTGGAGGAGTCTTAAAGATAAAAACATTTTCAGATTTGCCATGCCCCAATGGACGCAGCATAGAATTGATTATGATGAAGTAGAGCAAGCACCTTACTCTTACACCTTACTGGCAAATCTGAAAATGTTTTTATCTTTAAGACTCCTCCAAGCATCTTTACTCCACTGCATTACTTCTACTGCTTTGCTATTTGCAGCAGCTCGATTCCCTTTAGCTTTAGCATTGCAGCAGTAAATGCAGCTGAAAGTGCATCCAGTGTGGGTGCTTTGGAAAGTTCTCATGGTTTGCCTTCCAGCTGGCCATAGTCTGCAGTTCATAATGATATTGATAGTAATTATCATTATTACTTCATCACTAATGAAGATGATGATGATATCTACTTTCCTTCTTTGACTTTGTTTACGTCTCTATATCCTGACCATATTTAAGCTGGCCCAAAAAACGTATTTACAATATGTAGTGTTCGTACGTGTGTGCGAGTGTGTGTGCGTGTGTGTATTGAGTCACCTGCATTGCTGCTCGTTTATTGTTGAAATGCAAATTGCGACTGTTGAAATTGAAATTCAAGTCTTCGCTTTAGCGCAACTTTCACGGCTACGTGTGGCAAATAGGCCGATTACTCAGCGCCGACTGTGACACAGATTGATTCGATGAGGCCGATGAGGCCGCTGAGGGACTAGGTCCGAGATTCGCCTTTAGCCCAGCGAAGCTTCATCTGTGATTCGGAGTTTTGTGGTCGAAGAAGCAGTCAACTTGACATTGACCCAATGCCAAAGACGGATTCAAGCCACGTTCCTCGTTCGCAATTTGTTCGGCTAATTTTTGGCCACAATCGAGGGAGAGAGAGGGCGAGGCGCGGCTCGGGGGGCTTGCTGTTGATATTTGTTTTTTAATTTGCCTCGTTTTGGGCATTCACCAAAAAAATGTGTTCAACATTTTGTAGTTTTTTGTAGTTTTTTGCGGTAAAAGTGTTTATTTAATTTTTTATTTTTTATTTTTTATTTTTTACGCATATCTTAAACTTATTGCGGCTCGCATCTTTTTGAGGGTCTCGACCTTGTGCACGCCACAGAGAAAAATTAATTAATTGTGTTGCCACAACAAAAAAGCTAAGCAAACAAATTAGGAATTGTTAAACGGATTTTTGCTCTTCTTTTTCTTCAACTTTTGCAGTTGGCGCTGTTTGCTGTAGGAGCAGCAGCAGCAGCAGCAGCCGCAGCTGCTGGCACAGCCAGCAAGGCAAAGAGCGAAGCCAAGACCAAAGCTGAGCCCGCTAGCGTTGCCAGCAAGAAGCCCACATCGACCAACTCCTCAGCGGCCACCAGCACCACGCGCCAGTCGAAGTCCCTGAAGTCGCTGCCCGGCGAGAATCGTGGCAAGCGCACGCTCTACGACTTCGGCAACGCGGGCTACCTGTACCCGGAGGTGGCCAGCCGGCGAGCGGGCTATGTGGACAACTACTATCCGGGCTATTACAATGGCCAGCAAGCGCTAGGTAAGCTGGGCGAGGATGGGCTGCAGCTGCTCCAGTTTCATTGACTTCCTGTGCCACTTTCAGCTCAATATCCGGGCAGCTATAGCGGCGCCTATGCGCCTTATCCGCAGTACCTGGAGGCACCCGAGCCCATCATCGAGATCATCATCAAGGATGCCAATGAGACGCTCGCCGAGGAGCCGCCGCAGCCCATTGTCACCAAGAAGAAGAGGAAGAAGGAGAAAGTGCACGTCTTCTATGTGAACTACAAGAAGGACCAGAACAACAAGCTGCATCTGGAGTCGCCCATTGCCTCGCTGAACAACGACGACAACGAGGAGCCCGAGGAGGAGGAGGAGGAGATCGTGCACTACCCAGTGACGCCGCTGCCACCGCTCAGATCGACGACGCTGCGCACCATCATTCATCCGGACTCCGAGAAGTACCACAGCAACAGCGGCATTCACGTCTCCTTCGGCGCCGAGAACAAGCATCAGACGGGCCACATCCTCGAGGAGCACGACGCGGAGAGCATTCAGCGTCAGGTCGTGGCGCTGCCGCTAACCAACACGCGCGCTGACTACGGCCGCGAGAGCAGCTTTGCGCGTGGTCCCGTTTCCAATCTGCTCTACGGCAGCAGCAGCAACTATCAGCAGCAGCAGCAGCAGCAGCAGCAACATTTGCATTTTGGCAGCCAGCAGCAGCAGCAGCAGCTGCCTGCACAGCACAACAGCAACTATTTTAGACCACCAACCAAGCAGCAGCAGCAGCAGCCAGCACAACAGCAACATTACTATCAGAAGCAGCAGCAGCAGCAGCAGCAGCAACGGCCCAGCATAACACAGCAGCAGCTGCCTTCAACATCTTCTCAGACCATCTTCAACAAGCTGGTGCAGCAATCACAATTCTATGTCAATCACAATCAGCAGTATCAAACAGCGCAGCAGCAGCAACAGCCACAGCAGCAGCAGCAATATCAAAAGCCTCCACACAAGCAGGTGCAGGTGCCATTCTTTCCCACAATACCGCCAAAAAGTCATGAGTTGCCAACGCGTGCCAGCCAAACGCCATATCAGCCCATCAAGTTCCGACCCACGCCAGCGGCAGCGGCGCAAGTCAAGCCATTGCAGCTGCCACAGCAGCAACAGCAGCAGCAGCAGCAGCAGCAGCAACAACAATATCAAACGCCCAAGCCGCAGCCTTATCAATTCGTTAGACAGCCGCAGTTTGTGCAGCAGCCGCAGTTTATAGTGCACTCGCCCACACCAGCAGCAGACTACTATCCACAGCAGCAGCAGCAGCAACAGCAGCAACAGCAGCAACAGCAGCAACATAAATACTCAGCGCTCAACTATTTTGATATTAAGCCCTCCAAGGAGACGGAACTGCTGAAGTCCATACCCAAGTTTGAGCAGCACATAACAGAGACTGTGCAGAATCCACTCAACAATCAGCAGCAACAGCAGCAGCAGCAACATGTTGCCCATCAGCAATTCTCTTACAGCAGCAATCGCAATGAGGTGATTCATGACATACCCGCGCCCAATCTGGCACCCAATGCAGCACAGCCACAAGCACAGCCCCTTACGGGTCACTACATTACAGCCAGCTCCACGCAGCAGCAGCAGCAGCAGCAACCACAGCAGCAGCAGCAGCAGCAGCAACAATTTAGCTTTGCCAGCGAAGCGCCGCCTGTTTATGCCGAGTCAACGCATGGCCAGAAGGTAATGGTGGTGACGCCAGTGCCGCCTTCCTCCAGCTATGCCAGCTACAATCAGTATCAGGCGCAGAATGAGCAGGTGATACAGGTGCACCCGCAGGCGCAGCCCAGCAACAGCTATGTCCAGCAGCCCAGGCAGTCGAGCGCGAGCGCAGCTGTGGACAATTCGCCTTTCAGCGTGTCCACCTATCACTCGGATGTGTTCAAGGAGCTGCAGCAGCGACAGCAACACGAGCAGCAGCAGCAGCAGCAGCAGCAATCGAACTATGTCACACCAGCAGCAGCAGCCGCAGCAGCAACTGTTGCTGCTCCCACCTCAGCAGCACCCACAGCTGCGCCCAATGGCAAAGCCTCGCAGACGCTGCTGCAGCTGCCCGACGAAGTGCCCGACGATCTGCGCCAGCAACTCTTCTCCTCAGGCATACTGAACAATGCCGACATCTCGGTGCTGGACTACGACAAGCAGGGCGACATCGCTCTGGAGAACTTGCCGGCGGAGCATCTGCAGCATTTCTACGGCGCTGGCGGCGGCGCCCAAATAGCCGAGACCAACAAGGTGCTGACTGTGGTCAAGCCCAACGGCGACAAGGTGGCGCTCAGCGAGAAGCAAATCGATCGCGTCAAGCAGACCAACTCGCTGCCCCAGAAGCAGAATCTGGACGTCAAGGTGGTGCGCTACGACGCCGCACAGGGCCAGAGCGTGAGCGACAAGTACGTGCGCAGTGATGCCACCGTCGTGACACCTGTGGAGCTCGCCGAGCGTCAGCAGTACAATCGCTATTTGCCGCTGAAGATCAACGGCGCACAGTTTCCGATACCCGACAGCGAGGAGTTGCAGGGCAAGAAGATCGTGAGCGTGGTGGTGCTGGCTCCGGTGGAGGCGCAGCCACAATCCAGCGAGGCCAGGAGCAGCAGCGGCAGCGTGGACAGCAAGGAAGTCAAGTTTCTGGGCGGTGAGCTGGTCAAGACGCTGGTCAAGAAGCCCACCAAGGACAACTTCAAGCGCTGGCTCGAGAAGGAAGCGCGCACAGATATCGAATTGCAGTCGGTGGTGCTGCTGGTGGCCAAGTGAGTAACACAAAGAGATCACAGATAACACAACTCTCTCTATCTATCTCTCTCTCTCTCTCTCTCTCTCCCGCTCTTCCAGAGCCAGCGAGCAGGCGGAGCAGGAGATCTTTATGTACGACATTGCAACGGGCAGCGTGAATAAACTGAATGGCGAGCTCTCCAGCACCTTTGTGAATGTGGCCGAGGAGAATGCCAGCAGTGAGGATCTGGAGCATGCTGCCACACTTGACCCCAGCTCCATAGAGACCATGATGCAGCTGCGTCGCAGATAGACACTCACACACACATGCAGAGAGACATTATGCCATTTAGATACTCGAGCTATTCTTGTACTAGATACAAATTCTAAACTTCATTATATTTTGACACCCATACACACACACACACACACACCCATATCTGCACACACAGAGAGAAAATGCAAATTTAACCAGATTTTATGAAAAGGGTTTCATCGTTCGCAGTGCGTAAATTCCTTTATTTTGCGTAGTATTTCAATGTTGTAAATATATTCTTGATGATTATCGTAATTTAAGTTAATTTACGTGATTAATAAAAACAAACTTAATTAAACTCAGCGTATATAACTAGTAAAAAGTCATAAATAAGTATTTAAAGTAAATTAAACTTAACAGCAGCTTAACATGACAACTTGTTTGGTTGTTCTCTTAGCTAAGCAAGGCTTTAACATCGCCTCAGAAAAGCTCTGTAACAGGTTGTTGTATTAGCTAAATTAGAGCTAAATTTTAAATGCAATTCAGCAAACTGTTACCACAGCTGTGTTTGAGTTACATTTTAAGCGCAATTCAGCATGCAACTTTACTTAGGTTATTGTCTTAGCTATGTTGAGTTAAACATTGAATTATTTTTAACATAGCCGCGCAACTGCTTACTGTCTTAGCTAATTTTAAGCTTTTACCTAATGTGAAACTTTGCTACAGCATTCGAGCAACTTCTTCAGCTTAACGCTAAGAGTCAAGCAATATGCTGGCCAAGACACATTTAGGCCAAGGTTGGCTGGCAACACAGATTAACACACACACACATACACACACTGATAACAGGACCAGATGGCAACGCTCACTAATCGAATGCGCATACGTGACCTCTCAGAGTTGCTCCCATTGGCGTTGACTGTGGACGACGTGACCAAAGGCCAGCAAAGAGCACGCATTAAGCCATGACTTAAGCAGTGCGAGCGCGCGCTCTTTGAAGACGCGCTCACATCGCCTACGCTCTTTAAATAATTGTGCTCTCTTTCTGTTGCTGCTTGGCCGGCTCGCACTGGACGCACAAGAGTATGCTCATATGCATGGGTGTGTGCGTGAGCGTATGCATGTGAGGTTGTGTGTGCGTGCATGTGCTGTTTGACTGCGTGAGAGCAACAAGTCGCTGGCAACGTCTATAATTATGCCGTTTATTTTTAGCTGCACGGCAACAACAGTTGTTTGGCTAGACAACAACAACTACAACTTCAAGTTAAATGCAATAGCCAAAAACGTGGTTAACAAACAACAACTGCAAAAAATGCAGCGCATAAATGAGGCCTGTTTTTTTTTGTTTATAGCAACGAGCAAAAGCGAACATAACCGGCTATTGCTTGGTGTTGTCGTTGCCGGATCGAGTTGACAACAACATAAATGCACACACAGGCCTGCTGGATGCATATGTGTGCATACTTATGTACATGCACACATACATACATACAAGCTGTATGCGTGTGCACTGTAAACAGCGTAATTTTAGCTGTTGAGGTCTTCTCCCTTATGCAATCAGCTATTCATATATCTTTCAATCACATTGAGTTTGAAAAATAATAAAGAAAAAAAATATGCATATATAATATATACTTTTTATACAAATATACACAATCAAACAAAATATATATACATTAAATATTTTAATTTATATAAAAATATTAAGAAAATATATAAAGTATATAATAATTAATACAGCATATAAAAAAAATTAATTTAAAATATTTAAATTAAATTTTCAATATTTTATATGTACATATTGTCTTTATAATAAATCAATCTCTGTTTCGCCTTACAATTCAAGGCTTCGCGCTTAAATTTTGACTGTAGAACCAGGTTTTCAATAATCTGAAACCCAGTTTTTTTTAGGCTGAAACCTTGACTTCATTTGTTTTAACAAGTCAATTATTTACTTTTGTTTATTGGGCGCTCATTTAACAAAAATATGGCAAGTCTTAAGTATTTTCATACACAAAAGGCACTGGACAGAGGGAAAGATATATAGATAGATAGATAGATAGATAGATAGATAGATGGATAGATAGATAGATAAATAGATGAATAAGAAGAATAAACAAAAATTTAGGATTTTTGAAAAAATTTTTTTATCTGATGTAAACGAAATGGAATTCAAGTTATTTATGCTTTTGAGACTGAGAAGAAATTCATAAAAATTATTGTTATTTTTTATGCCTTTATTGAATATTCGAAACACAATTCAATTCACACTTGGAACAAAGGCGTTTGGAAAAAATGTATGCATAAATCAAGGACTTGGCTTGATTTGAAAATGATAAAAATTGTTAAGATTCTTAGCTCTATCTGAAATTTTTAAAAATAATAAATATTAAATATAACTTTATTAAGATCAAGTAAAAATGTATATACATTTTTGCCTATGATTTGTAAATGGTAATTTGAATTTCAAAATATTAATGTAAAACTTATAAATATTTGTAAATCACATATTCACATAGCATAAATATCTTTTAAAAATTTACGCAGAAACATAATTTTTCTTACAGCTCTTAGTTGATTTCGATCGAAAAATTTGTGAGAATCTCTTTTTGAAACTAGTTTTTCAACAAATTTCAAATTCAATTACCAATTCTGTCGCTTTGGCTATTTTTAAAGCTTAATTAGTAACTCAAATCGTAGTAAAAATTATCACATTTACTGCAACAAATTGGTGTTTATTTGGTTGAAAAGTCTATTTTAGGCAGAGAGCAGTCAATGGGCATTTCCCTTGCTGTTTATGGCAACGAGTCTTTCGGGTACTAAAAGTAGCCATAAATTTTTATGGATATCAATTTCAATTCATTGATTTTTTTTTTTTTTTTTTTTTTATTTCTTTATTTTGTTGCAGCTTATTGTCTTAGACTCTATAGCGCATTTAGCTCTAAACCTTAACTAATGGGAGGGCAGATATGCCAATTATTCTGCACTTGTAGCTACTATCTTAATTAGTTCTAATATTGTCTAGAGGATGCAATCTCTTCAGTCTTCGCCTATTGTTGTTTATAGCCAGGTTGCTTGCGAGATGGTTAGGATGCGCTGCAAGTCTGTCCGCGTATCTTGAACTGTGTCGCCCAATGAGTTCAGCAACTGTGGGAATTGCTAAATCCCTATGTAAGACTGAGTTTCTTACAAACCAGCTGGCTCCGGTCCATCTGCGTAGTGCTTTATTCTGCAGGGTCTGAATTTTGTTCCTTGTAGTCTTCGCCGAGGAGCCCCATAGAGAGATACCATATACGAAGGTTGGGACAACTATTGCCTTGTAGATGGCGGCCTTGCTGCTGTAAGACAACTTGCTTGAAGCTCTCAGCATCCAGTCGAGGGTTTTTAGCTTGCTTTTGCATTTTGAGGTTACTTGACTTATGTGCGCTTTAAAAGTCAGCCTTCTGTCAAGAGTGATACCAAGGTACTTTACTTTTGAGGCTTTGGGAATAGTGGGCCCCAATGCAACGCTTGGGCAATCTCCTCTTCTAGTGGCGAAGGTAGTATGTACAGACTTTTGTGCATTAATGGTGATACACCACCGTTTTGCCCAGCGTCCGAAAGAGTCCAGATATTTTTGTAGTGAGTCTGAAGCTTCTTGCGCAGATACGTGACGTGATAAGATGGCGGTGTCATCTGCATAGGTCGCTATGAGTACTGCATCTGTACTTCCTATATTTGGCTCGGGAGTTGGCATATCTCCTGTGAATAAAGTATAAAGTGTTGGGCCTAGAACACTGCCCTGTGGTACTCCAGCCATAATTGGTCTAGTCAAGGATACTGCTTGCCCCCTTGACACTTGGAAGGTTCTTCCAATAAGGTATGAGGATAGCAACGCGAAAAATGGGGCTGGAAGGGTGGTCCTCACTTTCTGCAGCAGTCCCAGGTGCCAAACTCGATCAAACGCCTGTTTGATGTCTAAAAAGACGGCAGAGCAGTACATCTTTTCTTCAAAGGCTCCAAGGATATGGTGCACAACTCTGTGAACCTGTTCCGGTGTTCCATGCTGTCTCCTGAAGCCAAACTGATGGTTTGGAATGGCCTCCTGGCGTCCCAGATGTGTCAGTACTCGTTCCAGAAATATTCTTTCGAATATTTTGGAGAGTACTGGCAACAGGCTAATTGGTCTGTACGACTCAATTTCTCCCACGGGTTTGCCAGGCTTAGGAATCATCACAATCACGGCGCGCTTCCAGCAGGCTGGAAAGTGCCGGATGCGGAGCATGGCGTTGTACACCATAGTTATGTAGTCTATGGTGGAGTCAGGCAGTGCTCTAAGGACTCTGCCGTTTATTAGATCATATCCAGGGGATTTTTTTGCCTTCACTCTTCTGATGTGTTCAAGAACCTCTTCTTTTGTACATCCAGTTATCTGGTCTTCAGCTGGGAGGGGCGAGAGAACGATGTCTTCTGTTGCTTCGATTTCTGAGGCCTCTGCGGTAATCACCGGCGTGAATTGGTCTTGAAGGTGGTTTGCAAAAGCCTCAGCTTGAGCTTCGTCTCCAATGTGCCAGGAACCAGAAATGCTCCGAATGGGATGACGACGTATTGGCTGCCGTTTGAGCTTTCTTGTAAATTTCCATAATTGAAACTCTGCGTCAGTGGGCGATTCAGCTCGTACCAGCGCATCGCTGATACACCTCTTTTGAAGCAGGGCGAGAGCAGCTTTAAGATGCCTCGTGGCTTCGTTGTACATGGATTTGGCATCAGGCGTGCGTAATCTTAACCAGCGTCTCCTGGCCCATCTTTTGTGTATTAGTAGGTGTTGGGCCTCCAAGGTGAGGGGGATGTTGTACGGAGACTGTTGTCTTGTTTGGCAAGATGGTGGGGCGGCTTGGTGCGCAGCTTTGACTATTTCTTCCTGCAGTTTGTTTGCTGCGTAGTCCACGTCTTCAGGAGTGTTAAGTTCCATTTCTATGTGCAAAGAGTAATGGAGCTCGCGCCTAAAGACTCCTAAATCTGATCCTGCTGGCAGTAGTTGTTTCCTAATGGGCAAGGGCTGTGGCTGCGCGTGGATTGTGACTATTAGTGGCAGGTGGTCAGAGGATAGGTCCAAGGATTCTTCAATGGTCAATTGCCGGTCACAGATGCCTTTGTAGACAGCGAAGTCGATTGCCGAGGGCCTGTGTCCATTAATTGGGTAACGGGTGGGGGCTCCAGTCGCCAATATGCTGAATTGTAAGTTTTGAATCGCCTCAAATATGACTTCTCCGCGACGATTCGCACTATTGCTTCCCCAAAATGGGTGCCATCCATTCCAGTCGCCGCCGATGAGGGTCTTATTCAACCTTTGGCCTAGAACCTGTTCCATGTGATGATCACACAGACCAGTGTTTGGCGGAAGATAAATTGACGCAACTTCGATCGCTCCAATAGACGTAGGCAGGGTGATGGCTGAGACCTGCATTGTTGCGTTGCAAATTGGCAGTAAAGGTGTATGCGGTATTGTTGCTCGTATGAGGATTGAGGATCCACCAAAGCAGTTTGCTCCTTCACCATGAGCCTGATAGTGTTCGTATCCGAAAATTTGTGTAGTGGGGCACTCATGAGTTTCTGTTATTAACATTATATCTATGTTTTCTTGTGAGAGAAACGCAGCCAGTTCCTGAGTCTTGTTTCTCAGGCCATTGGCGTTCCAGATACCCACACGTAAAGCCATTATTTGTAGGCAAGCTTGGTTATGATGGCCATTAAACTGTTTAGCATGGTTGCTTGTTGGGATTGTACTTCTCGCATCGCTTTGAGCTCGGCATTAATTGCGTCAAACTGACGTTGTTGTTGCTGAAGCATTTCAGTGAACAAAGTGTCACTTGTGGTATTCTTATTTGACGGTCCACCTCTAGCGGCCTGTGCGTAAGAAACACCACTAATAGGCGTTGCAAAGCTCGTGGCTTGGGTAATGCTCCGGGGCCTTGTAATTTCGGAAGCAGTACTCGGACCCGTAGACGGTGTTTGTGTGGGACTCCTTTTTTGTGCTGGGGATTGCAATTTGCGCAACCGCTTGTATACTTGGCAGCCCTTATAGTTGGCTGGGTGCTGTAACTCACAGTGCACACAAGTTGGTGCCTGGTCCTTTTCGCGGGTGCAGTCTTTGGATGCGTGTTTCCCGGCGCAACGCACACACCTGGGAGCTTTGTGGCAGTAGCGTTGTGTGTGTCCAAATTCTTGACAGCGATGGCATTGTGTCAGGTCGTTGTATCTTCTTGGCAGTTCCACTGTGCAGCGTTGCCTGCAGACAACTCGAATGTCCAAAATTTCTTTGTTGTTGGGGGCCTGAGCCACGTCAACAAAAAATATATTTAGCGGTGTTTTGTCCATACGGCTCAGTGGGTTGTGCACATTTGTAATTGTGTGGCCTTTGGTTTCCAATTCCTTTTTAATTAGTGTTGTATCAGTGCTGGAGTGAAGCCCTTTGAACACGACTCTATATGGTTTGTCCTCCTTAAGCTGGTAGCAGTGGAACTCCAATTCCAGCTTAGTAAAGTGGTCTATAACTCTGCGATAGTCCTCACTGCATTGGGTTAATACACCTATGTTATTCTTCTTTGGCTTAATTACGTATGATTTAGCATCAATTACTTTATCTATTATCTGTTGAAGTAGGGCCACAGACTTGATGTTTGGACACCATATGGGGGGCGGACGAGGTTTCGGTGTAGTTTGCTGGTCGGTCAATACTGGGGCTTCTGGAGCTACAGGTGATTCGCTGTAGTCTTCATCTTCTTCTACGAGCAGTGAAAATCGATTTTCTGATATTAATGCTGCATTGCTGGTGCTTGGTTCGTCGAAGATGAGCCTTTTCTTGATGGTTTTTGGTGAATTTGGCTGTTTACGTTTCGTGTTTTTGTTGTTAGTGATGCCTTGCACGGAGGCGATATCTATTTTTGAGTTTATTGGCATGATGGAGGCTTGCCTATTTGCCATCACAACGTTAAGCTGGGCTTGCATTTCTGCATTTACCTTTACAGCTGTAGCGAGGTTATTGACATTAGATGTCATCGCGGATTGTGCTTTTGAGTGCAGGCGCACTCGCGCCAAGCGACGAAATTTCGTAAATTGCAATTAAAGCAATTGAGTTACGCGGAAGCAAGCGATAAGAAAACGCTGCGTGTGCGGTTTTTGTTGCTGTTGCGTTGAAGAATGCACCGCAAAGTTCTATTTTTAGAACTCTGCAGCAGTAGAGCTTAAGCGAAGGCTGTTCGAATTCACGTCTTTACAGGTCGAACAACTGATCGCGATTGAATTCATTGATTAATTACTCAAAAATAAAGCTCAGAAATGAATTCATGTAATTTAATAACGGTTAAAGTTCTCTTGAAAACAAAAATCTGTCTCAATTGCATTGCCTTGCTGCTCATCCCTCACGGCTATTATACACACGTACACACACATACACGCACGCACACTGACATATGTTGTTTGAATTGTTTTCGATTTCTTACAACGCCTTTCGCTGTAATTTTCTTATTCTGCTTCCCATGCATGCGTTTTTTTTTTTTCGCTGAGCTTTTTCTGCAACTCGTTTGAAAATTGGGTTACAGAGCCCAAGACCAAAGCCCCAAACCAGCAAAAAAAAAAAATTAAAAAACGAAAACGAAAACAAAAACAAGGAACAAACCGTAAAAAAAAAAAAAAAAAAAAAAAAAAAAAAAAAAAAAAAAAAAAAAAAAATGCAAAAATCCGTTTGACGCCGTAAGCTCCATGAGTCAGAACTGTTGCAGTGATTGCCAAAGCAGCAGCACGAGCACCAACAGCAGAGGCCGCAGCAACAGCCGCAGCAGCGACTGTTGCTGTGGGTGAATCAGGTAGATAGAAGAAGAAGAAGAGCTGCTTTAGCTTGGACTTTATTTTTGTGTGCAAAAGATTTCGATTTCTCCACTTTTTGTTTTGCTTCTTTAAGCGTGTCTGCTTTGTTACTTGATTTGTAACGTTACATTCGGGTGTCTCTTGCCATTGTTTTTGTTTTCTTGTAACATGTGAGTTGTTTACGAGCAGCTGCAATAAATTTAAGAGAGACGACAGTAACTAAGTTAAGAGCAAGCTTAAACAACAATGTTAAAGGAGATCTATGAACAGTGCTGCCAGCCTTGAATCTATTTTTCAGCAAAAAAAATCGACTTAATAAACAAAATTTAAGTTATATATATTAAAATTAAACTATCACTTAAAGTCTTATATACGCAATGACAAAAAAAGTAAACGAGCTATATAACATGCTTTTGACAGGCAATGGCTAGGTGTTCTCTCTCGAACAAGCTAGTTTTTAGCGGTGGGCAAGCTAAAGTGCCAACATTGTCGAACGTCGACTCAATTGTGAAGCATCGTCGTCTGGCATTGCTCAAAGCTGCGCTCAGTTCGGTTCGATCATTCGTCGCAACAAGTCCACTAACGTCAGCGCGCTTCACACAAAGCGCAGTCGAGAGTCGAGGGTGGCGCAGTGCATGGCCCAGTCTCCATCTCCGTCTCTGTCTCCGTCTCCGTCTTCGTCTTCGACTTCGTGTTCGTCTAACCAACTGTAAAAAGGGCGCCCGAGTGCATTAATTGTGAGCATAAAATATAAAATAATTGTCGCTAATTTTTGGATACATTCGCGTGTGTGTCAAGTCGAACGTATTATGATATATTATGCAATTGGCCTTTGCTAAGTGAAAAGTCAAATTGTTTATGTGTTTGTGTAATGCGCTAGAGAAACGAAAAGAGCGAAATTCAAAGAAAAGTGAAGCCACCCAACCACAATCAGCGGCTTTAAAAAGCCGTTTAAAACAAATACAATAACAAAGAAATACAAACAAAAAGTTTAGCTGAATTTAAGACATGTCGCAGACAAAAATGGCGGCTGCAGCGACTGCGTCCACGGCGAACATTTGCGTCAGCTGCGCACGCCAGCGTCAAAGTCGACGCTGCGTCGGCGCCGACGTAGGCGTAGCAGCTGGCAGCAGTGCTATAATGCAAATTTATAGTGCCTGTGCCCTGCTCACACTGCTGACGGCCAGTGCTGCCTATGTGCAGAGTGCAGCCGTTTCCTTTGGTATGTTATTTTTGATATAAATACATTTTAGAGTTCCTTTATAACGTGCTTCCCCTGCCCGGTTTTCATTTTATTTAAACTTTAAAGCCTAAGAAACTGTTCGTCATTCATATTTCGCAAAAAAAGAACCCGTATTATATACTTATTATTTATTTGTAAACTGAATGATTCTATTATTCTTTACTATTATGTTTCTAGGGTTTCTGTGTTTATACAAAAATTCACTGTGTATGATGCGAACCACTGTCATTTGTATATGTTTTTTGTATGTATGCTTATTTTTCTGTTTGTTTTTTTGCGGCGACAATATGTGAACGCGAACTGTAAACCGGTCTTTGCCTCTCTCTCTATCGCTCTCTTATTCACATTGTTTTTATTACTTATTTATTTATTTTTTATCTCGATTTTTATTTTTTTGGATAAGCGAGTTATTAATGTTCTTATTGTTGTTTCAGTTATTGTACAGACCTTACAGAACTATGAACAAACTCTGACTTTTGTTTTCGTGTGACTGTTTCACTCTACTTTTTCGTCGCAGTTTCAGCTGTGATTCACATTCCAGCCTAGACGTAATAACATTAAAATAATTATTTAACACGCGGAAGCCACAGGCTTAAAACAAAAATAAATTAAAAAAAAACTATCTTACCTACAGACATATGCAAGTAAATGAATGAAGTAATGTTTTAATTACAGTTAGTAAAAGAGAGAGAGCGAGAGAGATTTAGAGAGTGGTAGAGTGGAGAACGAAAACGAGTGAGTGACCGACCTCGTTGTCATTGAAATACAGTTAAGACAAAGAACAAAAGTAGCGATGCCATGAAGTTCAGCAGCTTGCAGTTACCGTTAAGCTCTCGCCTCCTCCCTCCCTTCAATTCGCAGCCTCAGGCAACTGCAACGCTGGTTGCTGTTTCTGTGAACAAGCGCAGCTTTAAAACCCTGTGTTCCGTTGAACTTTTTAAGCATTAATTTGATGTTCCATTTCGGAAATATGCCAATTGCAGCTGGCGAAGAATGAATTGAATGAACAGACGAAATGAAGAAGATGGAAGAGAAATGTGCGATAAGAGCAGTGTGCGATGCACGCCTTACGCTTTGTACTATGCAAACATAAAATCAACCCTTGCAAAAACAAGAAGCTGCCAGATCTGCTTAATAGCCATATGCATATGATATGTGTACACACATGTATTCAGAGACTAACCGGTTGCTGACTGAATCAATTTGTTTAAAAAAAGAACAAATCAACAGTCCCACACACACACACTTGTACGTATGCTGCGAATCAGCTAGAACTGTTTTTGTTTTTCAATTTTTTTAGTCGTTTGGCAACAAGAAGTTAAGCTGCCTCTCACATATACACACACTCACACTCTTGCAGGCTTGTGCTAAGCTTTTGATCTGTTGATGTCATAAGAGTTCAATTAGGTGCAACACACCCACCCGTTTAACCCGTTGGCAGTTAAAATGCAAATAAAAGCTGTACAGTCGAAAAAAGAAGAGAAGGGGAAAGAGAGAGAGAGTGAGAGAGAGCAAAAACAGAGATAGGCTTTAGATGTGTGCGAGCGTCAAACAAGCGCTCAATTAAAATGCAAATTGACCGTTATCTGAGCTGACGGTCCGCGCTCTTATACACACTCTCTCACGCGCTCTCACACTCAAAATGGCGACACTTGAAGATGTTGCTCTTGTTTTTCTGTTTTGCGTGATTTTTTCATAGTTTGTCGTAGCTGTTGCTGTTGCTAGCCCACGCCCAACGCCCACTTACTTGACGCTTTATCTAAATTGGCGCAAACTATTTTGGCCAACAGCTCAGAGACACACACACATACACTACTACAAGCACTTACGTTGTTGGTAATTTTTTGCTAATTGCTAAAATGGCCGCCTTGATTTATGTATGCGACCGTTAGAAGGCAGCAGGCGATTCGCAGTCGACTGCAAGCATATCTTTGTGAGTGTGCGTGTGTATGTGGAGCCATGTTGAACCGGCTCGAGCAAGAACGGGCAATGCTCGGTCACGCTGCTGTTGGCAAACTGTGTGGCAGCAACAGTTGCCGTTAGGCTGCCTGCAATAAAATTGTTGCTGCTGCACGCAATGCCAAGCCAGCAACCAGCAACCAGCAGCCACAGCAGCAGCAGCAAGAAACAGTTAAAGCTGCATGCATGTCAAGTTCTTAGTATTTTGTTGTTGTTGCTTTTATTGTCTTGTTGTTGTCTTGTTTATAGTACAATTTATTTTATTTAGTTTGTTGCTGCTGCACAAACAAACAGAGAAACGGACAGCAGCAGCAACAACACACGCTTGACCTATAAGCGAAATTGGCCAACAGGAATTGTAGCATTGTCCACTCATTCTTTTCTCTAAAAATGTGTGTGCGTCTGTGTGTGTGGTGGGCTGGCACTTAACCCTTGCTGCTCTGACTTTGATAGTTGACCCAATTTTCAGCTGGCAAAAAAAAAAAAACAAAAAAATAGAAAAAAAATTAAAACTACACTCAAACGTTTTTTTCTTCTTCTATATTTTGTAGCTTTTTATGCGTCAAGTGTTTACTAGTCTCTTCTTCTTTCACTCACTCTCACTCTCACTCTTACTCCCTTTCGCTCTGCCTCTTCCACAGTATACTGCTGTGTAATTTGTTTTAAACAAAAACAACAACAACTTTTTTATTTCGAGTGCTTTGGCAGCACACTCAACGGCAATGCGTAGCTTTTTGTGTGCAACTGTATGCAACTGTGCGTAATTATGATGCTCTCTGCATGCAATATGCAACTTGCCACAGAATTTTTTATGTTATAGCCAGAGCCACAGCCAGCATCAACAGCAGCAGCACCAGCAGGCGTGGCACTCCAAACCGATGCTTGACAATTTACAAGCCAAGTGCTGCGCTTAACACATGAGCGAACTGCTGGCCCAAACAAGACCCAAACAAAGCCCCAAAACAAACAACAACAACTGCAAGGCTACAGCTATGTGTGTGTGCTCATCTGTGTGCGTGTGTGTGTTGCGTGCGTGTGCTGTGTGCACCCATTTTAGTAGGCACCTGTAGATCAACATTGACTGCCCTTCAGTTAAGTTCAGCCCTATTCAAGTGACCGCCACACACGGCACACGCACACTTGAACACATACACGCAACTACTCACACACACATTCACATACTCATACAGCTTCTCAATTATACTCGCCGCACACTCACGCAATTTTCAAATGTGTTTCAGCCATTGTAAACGCGATTCTGTAATCAACTTTAAACTGCCAACTAAAAAAATAAACAAAAAATATTTAAAACTTATTTTAAATACAATTTAAAATGTGTTTTCCACTCGATGTTTCCACTCGATTCTTTTGCTCTACATTTTGGCAATTTTCAGCTTTCTATTCAAAAGGGAGAAATTTCGGGCAACTCAGTTCATGTTCTGCTCTAGAAATTGAGACAAATTATTAACGGCACATTTATGAGCCCCCCCCCAGCCCAAAAAAAAAAGATCAAAATCCAGTGAAATTTTAGCCCTTTCTTTGCTTTGGTTGGCTGGCCACTTCTAACCTCCAACAAAACCCCATTGAACCAACAGTCCGGATCAAGCCAAATGCGTTTCTCGTCTGTTGCTGCAGTCAAGCACAACACTCATTTAACTTGTTATACGTTTCTATACGTGTATATGTGTGTCTGTGTGTGTGCTTTTAACCCAATTAGCTAAAGCTGTAACTAAAGCTAGAGTTCAGTGGCATAAGCCCCGACTTTTATAGCCAATGCTCTCAGTCGACAGACTCAATACAGCAAAGACAACAACAAAAATAAATAGGTAACAAAAAATACAAAAATTGTAGTAAACCTCATTGTTTTGCGGTGCTAATGGGCTGAAATTATAAGTTATGGCTCAATTTATCAGTCCATGCCGTCAGTAAAGTGTCAGAGGAACTAGTTTACTAGCAAAATGTAAAGCAAATGCATTTGTTTATCTCATATTTTACTTTCTTGTTGATGGATTAGAGCAGTTTCTCATGGAAGCAAATACATTTTTTTTTGGTATGATGCTGCTGATTTGGACTGAAAGCAATGTTTTAACGTGATACTAATATGGGGAATTTAGTTAATGGATAGAGTAGATTTATCACATAAGCTTTTTACACTTTTATATTTTTGAATTTTAAATGTACTCAAGGTAAGGAGAAGTATTAGAGGCTTCATTTTGTGTTTAGTAAGTGAACTTGAAAACGTTCCAGCAAAGTTAATCAAAATTACGAAAGGTTTAATTGACTTCAGTTGTACAAATCAACAGCTTGCACATGAATAAGTTTTAAGTTACTTTTATGAAATGGAGTGCTTAGCCAACCAAATTTCTGTCAAGAGCTTTAGCACTATAAACTTAATTTCATTTCAAATTTATGGTACTTTCAGAAATGATTTCTTAGTTCAAAATATAGCAAATTACTTTAAATAGAACTTAAAGCTGGCAAATGCTCTTAAGTCTTCTTAAAATTGAAAGCTGAGAGATTTCATAGAAATTTGAGCTTAAAACTTATGAATAGAAAATCTGTTTTCAAGTTTCTGTTCAATAACTAAAATAAGGCGTTTCGTGGTATTTGTTAAAATATAAAATTGAAATTGGTTTTAAATTTTATTCTTGATTAACAATTGAGCTCCAAAGTAATTGTTGTTGCCTCAAGCGCTCAGCATTGAGCTACATTTTGTAATCTGTTGGGTTTCAAATTAAATAATCGCAAACATATGGCAAACATACACAAAATGAATAACACATTATAACTATTAAATCAACTTATGAGCTAAAAACAATTTACGAATCATAAATGCATTTCGAGTGCACTTTTTCTGTTGTGGTTGTTGTTGAAGCTGAGCCCTGAGCATTCGAATAATTTATTAAAGTGCAGCACGTGTCCAGCCACTTGGCTATTAATGTCAAGTTCACAATAAACTATGCGTGAGTGTGTGTGACTGTATGCTACAGTGGCTGCAAAAAGCAAATGCAAATTGATTTTGCGCATAAACTTTTAATAGCCCAAATGCGTCGACAATTGCATAAGAAATGGCCAAGGCAGTGGGCGAGAGGCGGGTGCTGTAGCTGCCATAAAATGTAGCAACATATTATGTGTGTGTGTGGGTGTGTGAGCGTGTGTGTGAGTCAGTGACCCAGAATATAATGCAAAAGTAGTTTTCCTATAGCAAAACCGAAACGACAGCAACTGGCGGCACATTGTAAACCCATATTTCATTATTAACAAACAATAATAACAACTCGTACTCGTGTCTTATTAATTTAGCTATGTATGCGTGTGTATGTGTGTGCGCGCGCTTGTATCTTGTATCTTTAACCTCAGGCGCGCAAAGTTCGAGTGCGAGTGCAAAATAATTGAGCCGCAACTCTTGACGAGCTGCCGCTGCTGTTATTGCTGCTGCTGCCTTTATAGGTAGACTAGATGCATGTTATTCAATTATAAACTATATCAAATTAATTGAATTTCAGTTATGGATGCTATATATGTGCCTATATATATGTCTGTACACATGTGATACAAAGTAGCGCCAGCTATTTTTAGTTTGATTACATTTCTCATCTTCAGACAGAGACATGGCTTGGGGCATGTCGACAATGTGCTCTACATACATTCATATACATATATACATATATGAGTATAACTGATCAATATGTACGCTGCAAATTAGCAGCCCTTTGTAAATTTGTGCTTGACTTGACCAACTTTTACCTCTGTTCTCTCTTTCTACAGGTGATCTGTCGCATCCCACCTTTAAGCCGCTATGCAGCGTTCAGCATGAGCATTTCATCGAGAGCGATGGCAAAGAATCTAGTCTCATTATTGAACTGAAACCGGGCAGCTATGGCGCCCAACACAAGTCCTGCTCTCGCATACTGAGTGCCCCGCCCAGCTATGGTTTTATTGTGCGTCTTATTTTGCCCAAACTGCGACACACGCAACGCACAGACAATGGCAGCAACAATCCCTCTGCTGCAGCTAGTTCCAACATTATGCCCGCTTTAGTCAGCGCAAACAAACAGCCGCAGCTGCTGCCTGCTGGCATGCTAAATGCGACTGCAGCAGCAACTTCTACCTCATCGGCTGTTGTGGTGGGACGCACCTGTCCATTGAATATTGTAAGTACAAAAGATTGAAGTCTGTGTATCTGAGTGAATGTGCGCTCTAAATGCAAGCTAATCATGTTGGAAATTAGACAATAGATGGCGATAATGTAGATGCGAGCAGATGATAGATGTATAAAATTGAATGTTATCTATGATATTACAAAATTAGGTTTGTTGAGTGATTGTGTATGCATGCTAGAAGTTCGTATAGATAAAATAGTCAACTGTAGGTATTAGAACAGGTGCCCAAAAAACTACAATGCAAGCTCAAATAAGCTTTTATCCGCTAGATGGCGCTCTATTAGTAAATAATAAGATACGATATATAGATATAGATATTGAATATAAAAGAGAATTAAAATAACTAAGAATAAAGAAGAATAAAGAATCAAGATGAATTAAAGGGTAAAATAGATGACGCTGTATAGATAAATCTTACAAAAGCGTAGCCTTATAAATATAAAACATAAAACAAACTTCTATAGAATGATTGATCAAGAAAAATTAGCAAATACAATAAAGTATAAACATCAAGTTATTCTCTTAATAATAATAAAATACTAAAATCAAGTTATTCATGTTATAATTTCAAAACTTCATGTTTTTCAATGAACTAGAAATAACATTAAGTAAGGGACTAGATGTCTCCAAGGTTAATCTACATATGAGTGACATAAGAAACAAAGCAGTTATTGGAAATCAACTTTCATAAAAGAAATTCTTCCCACAAAATTATATAATGAAGTTCGCAGACAAGCAATAATTAGTGTAATAAATTAATAGATTTTCTACCTCAAAATGCCCAATTATATAATTACTAGAGTCAGTTAATGATCATATTCGAAGTTAATTTGCTCTTGTTTAATAAATAACTAACGTTAATAGCTTGTGCTAATCATTGTTATGCCTAAAACGGTGCAGAAGGGCTGCGGCAGAGCGCCAATAGCGCAGCTCACATTAAGCCATGCACAATCAAATAGTCAACAATTAATTAATTTAATGAAACCAGTTAGCTGTTGACTAAGTGCTGCATCAGTAGCTATTTGATAAGTGCATCTAATGATTGCCAATTGATATTGTGTTATGCGATATGGTTTTCGTGTGCGACTCGATTTTCTCATTAAGAACAAAAGCTGCAAATTGTGTGACATATTCGCAATGCGCAAACAGAGAACAGCAATAACAATAACAACATTTGCATATGCAGGCAAGCCAGACAAAGAAATCATTTATACAGTTGAACAGATGTAGATACAAGTATATATGCATATATATATATAACTACCTGTGCAGCTACAGCTACAGATATAGATACAGCTACAGCTACTGCTATAGATTCAGATACAAAGGTAGAGATACTGGCAACCGCACCCGCAACTGAAACGTTGATATCCTCACATGCGCAGCACAATTTCATGGCTTAAAGACTGTCCACGTTTCATTGCTGTCAAGCTGCCTGTCAGCCATACAGTCGACTCTCTGATTATCCGTCCGTTCGTCTGTCTGTAGGACCGTCTGTCCGTCTGTCCGTCCGTCTGTCTGTCTGTCTGTCTGTCTGTCTGTCGCAGTAGTATTTATGGCAACGCAACGTCATAGCCGCAACTGAAAGTGTTGTCTATTTGTGCTGGTTGCGTTGCGTCTCGTTTCGTTTCGTTTCGTTTTTCCTGGCCAAATGAGACAAACGTGTTTCAAATACACAAAAACTTTTTAGAACTCACAGCAAATGCCAAAAACGGGCGCGCTTATGCAAATCGCACGCGCTTGGAATATATGTCTCGTTAACTGAGTACAGAAGCCAGCGACTGCTTGCTGCCTGCTGCCTGCTGGCTGCTGGCTGCTGGCAGCTGCCTCCCAACAAGCCCCTCTCCACCCACTTCCCTTCGCTCTCGCCTGTCGCCATAGCTCGACTGCTCGACAAAGAGTTATCCATAATTTATCTATTTCAGTGTCGCATTAGTTGCACTTGCTTATTGGCTAACTCAACTCTAGTATATTTGTTAAATTGACAACGAAATTAACTGTAATTGAGCACAATTTGAAATGTCAAAATGTCTTGTGAAAACCGCAAAATAGGTCAGAATGCCCGCCCCTTACAAAGCCACAATACAATTAGCCACAATACTAGAAGTACTCGATGTTCACATACACACACAAGCACACACACTCATACAATCAAATCAAGTTTTGTTAACCTTCCGAGCCGAGTCATAGGCAGAGCATAAATTAGAATCAAAGCACTAAAGTCACAATAGCTCACAGCTTGGTCTTTATTTTTGTCATTTTGAGGCGAGTTCAATGCTAAAAAGCCAAACACACAAAATCTCACACATTTTGTTTTTGTGGTCACGCATGCGCAGTCAAGAGTACTCAGACACACGCACACACCCACCCATTCATTCGCTCATTCACTCATTCATTCAAGTCAAAGTCAAAGTCTAAATGGTTTTCACTTTGATGCTAGGTGCAGATTTTGCCAAACTAACTCTAATTGCGTTAGCCAAAAGAAAGAAAACCTTGATTTGCTAGCAAAAGTCTTCAGATATTATCTAAATGAGGGTACACATTTATGAATATATGTATATAATATATATACTATATATGTATAGTAAATCCTGATAGCTTTGCTTTGTATATTATTCTGTACTGCTTAAGCTCAAATATTTGAGTTCGACTCGACTAATTTCACTGTAAAGCTAATGAGTGTTGTATCGAAGAATTGGTAGCCAAAGGTTGCAAGCTTATTAAATGTTTTTGAATGCGAGTTAAAATTGTTTGGCAAGTCATTCTAAAATATGATAAATAAAAAATGATAAAGATTTTGGATCAGAAATGAAAGTAGTGTGAGATATAATAAGGAAGAGATATATTCATTTCAGCACTGCTCATTTTGAATGCCAATCGAATGTCGTCATTCAAGTCAGAAAAGGTATAGTGTTTCAAATCAGGCAAAAAAGATGCAAGTTAGAGTCAAACGAAGTTTAAGAGTGTTGATTTTGGAATTAAGTTTATGGAATTGGAGGCTTAAACAGGCAGATGGACAGATAGACGTATACTTGGTGAGCGAGTGGAATCTCTTGAAAATTGTTGGTCTAAAAGCTCTGAGTAACTTATGACTAGCAAGCTGCTGCTGAGTAAGATTTATATAAGAGTTAAATAAATATTGAATTTTGAATGTTAAAGGCTTTTATAGCAGATTTTTGTTATATCTACAAAGAAACACAAAAAAAGGTAAAGAATTTAATTTATTTTTTTAAGAGCGATTATCATATGATGTCGTCGCTCTGGCTTACTTAATTCAATCAATATTTATTTAGCTGCAACTATATTTAGTTTAAGAATAGCAACTAGCAAATTTGAATAAATATTTGAGATGCTTAACAGACGATATAATCATAAATTATATAGAATCTACGACTTGTGAGCTTTCTGCTCTCAGCTTTGCATATTAGTTATATATAGAGGTGAATGTGTCCATAAATGCATATATAATATATGAGTTTAGAGTTTCGCATGTGCTACCTAAAATTGCTTTTTGCGCGAGGTATATAAATATAAATAAAAAATATAAATATATAAAATAAATATATAAATGCTTCTGAACGTAAATATTTAATTTGCAATTATTATTGCTGTTTCTCATGCCGAATATTCAAAATGTATTCGCAGTTGACTGTTTATTGTGCACGTTTACATCTTTGTTTAACTAAATAATTTATATCACGTCGTTTTTTTGCGTTTGCCTTTGTGATTGTTTTTGTGTTTGTGCTTGCGTTTGTGGGCGTGAAAAGATTTGAGTGATTTTTATTATACGAAGTTTTTAGACCCAATTTTTTGTGTTTCTTCCATTTGCATTTGTTATGCGAGTCGCGTAAATTGTTTGCGCATGCGCGAGCAAATATTGGAGCAGTTCTCTAATTTTAATTGATTTGATGTTTGCCTTTGCAGTTCAGCTCTTTGGATCCGCATACGGCTCAGTGGCGCGTGGATCCCTGCCAGCTGGAAGATACCGCCTCCGAAATGGAGGATCCGGTACGTCTGTTTCATGGCCGCGTGCGTATTGTGTGGGAGCATGGAATGCATGCGCTCAAGTCCAAGCTAATGGTCACGGTGCTTGGCAAAGGTGAGCAGTGCAAGGATGAGAGCAAGCATCAGTGCCTGAAGATTGGGTAAGTCAGGAGAAATGACTTAAAGAAATATTAAATTTAATAGATTTCTCTTTGTTCTATTCGAACAGGGACGAACCCATTCTATGCATCTCCAAGGAGCTGGCGTGCGATGGCATACGCCATTGTCCCTACAGCAATGAGTATGACAGCGACGAGGACTACGAGCTGTGCTATAAGCAGCGTCGTCCGGGTGCTGGCACGCTACCCTCTGCGCTGGAATCCGATCTGTTTGAGCAGTTCGCCTTGGAGGTGTTTCGCAATCTGTTTGCTTACGATGCGCCCACAGCGCCGGAGGATATACCACAGCGCAATGGCAGCGCCGGCGAATCGGAAGCAGCCGCAGCAGCAGCAGCAGCTTCAGCTGTGGTCAATAACAATTCGACGACGCAGCTACGTAAAGTGCACACCAAAGACATGAAGAAGCCGGATCAAGGTTCACCCAATGCCATTGGCACTCAGTTCTCGCCTGAGCTGGATGCCAAGGCACAGGATAATGCCACAGTGGATAACGGCAATGTAAATGGCAGCGGTGCTGGCAGCGGCTTCACTCGTCGCAACTCCACCCGCGGCGGACTCCACTCGGATCTATCGAAGTACGGGCCGTGGGGCTACCTAATGCTCGGCATGCTACTCTGCGGCGGCGCGCTGCTCATCTGCGGCCTCTGGGGTACGTTCAATTGCACACTTTTGTAGTTAAAGTAAGACATAGACATCTATATTTATGTGAGTTTTCTTGTTCGTGTTTTGTTTCGTATTCTTCGTACATTGCGCATGCCATTCAACTTTTACCCGTATCTCTGTATCTATGTATCTTTGTATCTCTGTATCTATGTCTATGTCTATGTCTAACTTTCGCAACTCGCCATTAACTGCCTTCTGCCTTCTGCCTGCGTCCTTTGTGGCCGTCATCTCTCAACAGTTTCCTGTTGTCGCTTGAGCTCTCACATTCAATCCATACGTACACTTACAGCTTCCGCATCGCAGCACGCTGTCAACAATGAGCGCGAGGCAGCGCTGGCCGCAGCCAATGCAGCTGGCATGGATCCAACCAGTGTCACCTCGCCACCCAACTACGAGGAGCTGGATCCGCCGCCGGCATATTCCGTGCTCTTTCCCAATCAGAAGGCCGCCAGCAGTAATACGCTTAATGCGCTGGATGGTGCGGTAGCTAGCACAACAGCCGCGGCAGCAGCAGCAGCTGCAGCAGCAGCAACAGCAACAGCAGCAATAACAACAACATCAACAACAGGAGCTGCAGCAACAGCAGCAACAGAACAATCACAGCAGCAGCAGCAGCAGCCACAACAATCAGGAGACGAGCCAACAACAAACTAGCTCTAAGCCTGACATTAAGGTCGCCTTCAATTGGGCGCATCTGGCAAAGTAGTTTAGGTTTTAGGTTCCAACTTCTTTGACTGACTCTGATGCAATTAGTTTAGAAAAACAAGTTATTAGTTATAGTCCTTAATTGTAACTCTACGTTTAATGTTTAACTAGATATGTATGTATAACTGGTCAATCCGATCTACCCCGAAGCCCTCCATGTCCTGGGATATGCCAAGCATGCCGATGCGACAGTCTTATATTTAAATACAGTTCAAACGAAATGTTCAATTGCCTGCAATGTGAAAGAATAATACTTATACTATGTAATAAACCTTTTAACTATGTAAAACCGATTGTAAACTTATGACAAATTGTGTAAAAGCGTCGACATGCCAAGCATGCCGCACGGAAAATCCTAAATTCGAACGAAATGTCAAGATACCTATTCTTTAACATTTAGTTATAATATGTAATGAAAACGATTGTAAAAATGACAAATGATAACGATAACAATGACAAGTCGCATATATTTTGTATCTTGGTTAATGTAAAATTTAATGTGATATATATTATAAATAAAATAATCAAATCTAAAAATCAAACTTTTTTCTGTGTGTGGGTGTGGGTGGTGGAGTGAGCATATTCTGAGTAAAGTCGACTGAACTACCAGGCGCACAGAAATGCTTAGCTAGCAACTGCGTGATTTAATTTTTGCTGTTTGACCTTGCAGGTATACAACGAAAGTATGCTACACAAATTAATATACCGATTATTTCGACATGCAGCCCAAAAGCATGCCAAGCTTAATTAATTAAAGTATGTTCAATGAATTAATTTGCAGCCTAAACTTATGCAATAATTTTTGCTGAAAACTCCACTTTTTACATCGAATTCTAATCGTGTGTGGCTGGCTGGGTGGGTGGTTGAGTGAGTAAATTCTGAGTAAAATCGACTGAACTACCAGGCGAACAGAAATTCTCAGCAAGCAGCTGCGTAATTTAATTTTTGCAGTTTGCCCTCACGGGTATGCAACAAAATCTTGTTTTTGGACCGCTACTCACGAAAGTATGCTACACAAAAAATAATTTGACCATCCCAGAAGTATGCAATTTTAAATTGATTTAAATTGGCAAGATTCTTTAATTTGCAGTCTAAAAGTATGCAATAATTTTTACTGCAAAATTTGTTATCCAAAAATCAAATAAAACTCAGTTCACATTTTACATCGAATTTTAACATCATTGTTTTTATTTTTGTTTCCATTTATTCGGGTAAATTAAAAGGGTGTGAGAGCTGTGTTTGGATTGGCCACAAGAGCCAGATTGGGGAAACAGGCAAAGGATAGCGAGGATAATTTTTACATATCAATTACATGTAGTGCTAAAATGATTTAAGTTGCGTTTCGTTTTGTTGTTGCTTGAATTCCATATTGTTTATATGCTTGAATTTAAGTCTATTTACTAATGTCTAGAATGTCTAAATGGATTTGCTTAGTTTTCGTTTCGTTTTTTTCATTTTTCATTTTTTTTTTGTTTTTGTTGTTCCAGTTGATATATATGTTAGTTGCACTGATATCTTTGCCGGATTGCCTTACGTGTTACACACACAATACATACATATGCAAATGTATGTAAGTGCATCATATATTTAGTTTGTATATTTGCTACAAATTGTTCTATACTCCTTGCTGTTTCTGGGCTGCGTGGTGTTGGCGGGGGGTACGTGCGCACGTTCCTTTCCTTTACCAAATAGTCTAAACTGTTTATGGATTAGCATTAACATACATTCTCGATTTGTAATGGTTTTCTGACTTTAACAATACTTTACACTAAACAAACAAAATGAAGCATCAAATTGTCTTTATTTGCTTCTGCCAGCTGAGCTGCTAGAATTATTATAGTTAAATGTTCGTTTTAGTTATATATTTTAGTTCTACTTTTACTTAATTGCCAATTTCAGCATTTCACGTAACTCGATTTTGTTTATGTGTTTTACTTTTTGCATTTTCTATTTTGTGTTTAAATTACATACTCATAAGATTTGGGCGTTTTTCATGTTCATCGACTTCATTCATTTTACATTTGTCTTAATGCCTAGAAACTGATCAGATCTGACTAAACATATACACTATAGATACATATATATATATATCTAAATATTTGCTATAGATCGTATAATAAATGGGTGCTCAATGTGTTTGGTGCAGCAAATTGTTGTAGTGTTTTCATTTCCTTAGTGACTAAAATAGGCCATAGGGGTACACTTAGAATAATATATGTGTAAGTACTTCAACAACAATGTGGTTAGAAAAAACGATGCCTAATAAAATGTTGCTCTAGTTTCTGCGCTTGTCTTAGTTGAAAAGTCATTAAAAATCAAAAATTCAAATTCAAAATTTTACTGCACAAATTTGCTGAGTGCTAAAAAACTGTTTTTGCTTTTGCTTTCGTTTAGTTTTTCTTATAGACTACAAAATACGCAGCTCGCTTAGTTGAGGCTCGTGTACAATTTTACTTAACTCTTTCCTACACATACATACATATATATATATATATATATATATATATATATATATATATATTTATTTAATACTTATTTATGTTCAGTGTAAAATTGGACGCCAAATTAATTAACAAAAGAAAGTAAATCAAAGCCTTAGAAATATATATATATTTGGAATCAATGTAATTAATTCTTCAGTGCGCTCAAAAGTTTTACGCAAATAAATTCATATATTAAGTGCATAAGTGTGTGTGTGTGTCGGTGTGTGGGTGTGTCAGTGTGTGTGTGTATTAGAGAATTCAGCTTGTTTTTTCGGTTTTTGTTACGTTGTCAATATAAATAAGGCCAGTGGATACGCATACATCATAAAAGTACAATTATATATATTACTTATAAATACTAAGTTTAGTAATCATCTTATATACATTATACGATCTTTAGTGGTTGTTATAAAAGCGCACGCACACAGACATACACAGCTGTATGCATGTGTGCGTGTGTGTGTCTGTGTTAAAGACTAAAGTTCTGTCAATGCCTAGAAGCCGCAACTTATAGAGTCAAGCCTTATAAATATTCCACTAATCGAATAGCTTCTCCACTCTCCTGCTCCTTCACTCACTCTTCCCCTCTCTTTCTCTCTCTTTCCGCTTCTAAGTAGGTTTTACTTAATTTTTTCTTTTATTTAGCTTAACTTTGTTTATGTTTAGTTTTTGCATTCAAAGTTGTTTGGTATAAAAAATAGAAAAATTTTGTGGCAATAAAAACATTTTGTCTCAAATCATTTTGGTTTTTCCTCCTCTTCTTCTTCGTCGTCTTCCACTTCAAATAGTTTGTAGTAATAAAATCTGCTTAGCTGCTACAAGGTTGTATTAGAGGGTATACAAGATGCTGTCGCTTTCAACACTAAATACAATGTGAAACACGGATATGAATGACTTAAGCTAACCTAGAAGTATTCTCTCTTTATATATATATATCGCACATATACAATATATATATATATATAGTATACGCTGCTGATTGCTTAAAAGTTGCTCGAAAAATTAGTGTTAACATACATATAGCATGCATGCTTATTCTATATTAACTATATGCGGCGATTTCTCAAGCGATTTAAAAGCACAATTGTTCGTGTCACTATGTGCCTATGTGAGTGTGTGTGTGAGTGTGAGTGTGTGTGTAGGTGTATTGTGTATGTTTCTGCGTGTGTCAAAGTCAAAGCTAAGCTGCTGTGTCAGCTCTTTCATAAACTGGTTTCATTTAAAAAACCGAAAAAAAACTACTCGTTACTTGTTACTCGATACTGCTAACTAGTTACTTATTAATCGTTACTTGTTACTTGTTAGCCATAAGTTGTTACTCGTTACTAGTCACTTCATAATCGTCACTTGTTACTCGTTAGCTGTTGTGGGCAAGTCGACACCTCTAATGTAAGTAACGAGTACTCGCTAGAAGTTGTTGCTTTTTACTCGTTGCTTTGAACTAGCTACTCGTTGGAAGTTACTCGTTACATTTGTCTAGTTGCTTTTTACTTTAAATTCGTAGCTCATAACTTTTTACTCAAGCCTGACTACTCGTTACTTGTTATTGGTTACTAACGTATTATTTGATAGTCGTTACTCGTTACTCGCTACTTCTAACTCGTTACTTGGAACCTGTAACTCGTCAGGTGCTACTCGTTACTTCTCACTTGTTACGCGTCACTCGTTAAAAGTTACACAATTCTTCCTCACTTCTTACTCGTTACATCTAACTCGTTACTTGCTACTCGTGACTCGTTACTTCTTTTTCAGCACTTGCTACTCGTGACTAGTTAGTTTTTACTCGTTACTTCTTACTTCTTACTCGCTACTTCTTACTCCCTACTCCCTACTCGTTACTTGTTACTCGTTACTTACTAAAACTTACAATGTCCGCTACGTGTCGAAGACGTTTCACTTCCTGATGCTCTCTTTCTTCAGTTTTTTTTATTTTCCAATGGTATGGCGCAGTTGTTGTTGTTGGTGATGGTGTTTCTTGTTGTTGTTGGTTGTTGGTTGTTGGCTGTTGGTAGTTTTTATCGCTTGTGAAAATTGAGTGTCAGACAAACGATGTGATGATGCTTCAATGCTCTATCCCACAAAGTCCTCAACATTAACGACCTGGCTGTAAAATGGGGAAGGCGGGGCGAAGACGAGGTTCCACTACCACAATAGTTGAGAGCCCGAGCCCAAGTCGCCAAAAAAAAGAACGTACACTGGACTCTAACTGGGGGCCAATTTGTGCGTTTGGATTTTTGTTGGTTTTCAGTTTTAAGTTTTTGTTTTGTTTCCTTCGGTTTTTGCTGCTTGTCGAGCGAGTCTTTTGGTTAGTTCCATTTGTTGGTTTTTTGTTTGTTTCCTTTTTAGTTTTTGTTGTTATCCTTTTTGGAGATACTCGGCAGTCGCTATGAGCATAACTAACAATAATTACCATTACCATACCACGGAAAGGTCCAGCACCATCAGTGCGGAAGCATCAAAGGTCGTGCCGTGCTGGTCAGTCTCTGATGTGACTTATCTCCGCCGCCACCGTATTCGTCGTAGGCCAGCAACGGCGAGATCTTGAGGCCCGTCTTCTCTGGGATGATCTTGAAGTGCGGCTGGTCGGCGCTGACCAGCAGCGGGCGTTTCATCGACGAGTGCAAATACTCGTGGCCATGCTGAATATTGCTGGAGGCGGCGCCCAAGGGTCGTCGGGTGCTGGGCACATTCATTTTCTTGCACGGCTCCGGCTTGCTCTCATAGTTCAGCTGACAATTCTCGGGCGAATATTTATTCGGCTTGTATATGGAGAAGATGTTGTTGATCAAACTCAGCGCCGAGTGCCCGCCAGCCGAGGCATGGTGTATGCCCGCCGTCGGCTGCTGGGTGAGCACGCTGCCCAGCGTCGTGTGCTCCGGATAGAAGTTGTTATACTGATACGTGGGCAGCGTGTCCGCAGTCGGATAGACCTTATGGCCCCCGTAGCCATAAGCTGGTGCTGGTGGCGCTGCAACGCCATGATGTCGTTGCTGCTGGTGATGGTGGTGCAGCGAACCAGCGGGATTCTCAAAAAAAGTAAAGCCCGTCGCATTGTTGGAGGAGCCACTGGAATCTAGCTGCGGCGGCGACGGCATGCCCTCCAGCAGCGACTTCTTGATCATCAGCCGCTCGTGCTCCCGATCGTGCATGTCAATGGGCTGCCCGTTGTTATAGCAGCGCACGTTCACGTTCTTCACCTTCAAATTGCTGTGCATGTTGCGTCGCATGTCCATGTTTATGGGGCTGGGCGGCTTGTCCAGCTGTTCCCAATACTTTTCCAAGTCGATATTGAAGTCCTCCAGATCAATCTCTGTCGTGTCCGAGCAGCTGTCCTCGTCGAACAGGCTGGGCGGCTGCACCTCCAGCAACGATTTACTGCGCGTGGGCCGTGGATAAAGAGCGTAGCGTCGGCCCGGACTAGCCATGTGGCTCTGCGCCAAATAGCGCTCGTCCTCGTCGAGGAACTTGTCTTGGAGCAGCAGACGTTCACGCTCGGCGCGTATAAACTGCTCCAGGTCGGTGTCGTAGCGGCAATGCATATGCTCCTCCTCTTCGGCGGCCGGATGATGGCCCGGACAGTGCGGCCGCCTTGTCGCCCGGTGCTGAGGCTGGCGATGGCAGCAATAGTCCTCTGTCGCACAGCAGCAGATCACTGTGGTGGTGGCTGGAGCCGGTGGTGGTGGGGCCATTGGCAAGCGCTGACCCCGACCCAGCCGTTGATGATGCAGATGATCTGCTGCCTCTGCGCGCTCCTCAAACAGCCAATCGGCGGGCGAGCGCAGATTTCGATTCAAATTCAAATTCAGATTCCTGTTGCTGCCAGCGCTGGCACCGGCGCCGGCGCCATAAGCATCCAACCGCCGCCTGGACCCAGCATAGATATCATCCAGCAAGCACTTGGCACTGGTGCACTGCTCCCGCGCACAGCAGCTATGCGCCAGCGCCCGCTCGTCCAGGCTATTGCTGTACAACATGTTCATGCTGCGTCTGTACGCCTCGCGCTTCTCTCGCCGCGTGTTCGAGGCAGGCGGCAGCTCGTAGTCAATGATATCGAAGGGCATGGTCTTTGTCGAGGCGCTAAACGAGTACGATTTGGGCACGCCTGCGCGATTCTTCAGTATGGACGTCGTGGCTGTTGCACCTGGGCCGCCCGCCTCAAACACATTGCCCTCGAAGCAGCAGCTCTGCGATTTCGGATACTGAAATTCCTTGCAGCTTTTCGAGCGTTGCAGTCCGTAGCCGGGCGAGCCTTCGCCCTCGCCACGGCGCTCACGCATGGGCAGCGCATCGTCTGCATACTTCTCGTCCTGTTCGCGTATGTCGCGCAGGATGCGGTTGCTATAGCTGCCATATTTGAGGCAGTCGGGCACGTAGTCTTCGTCGAGATCATCGGAGCGATTGGAGTAAATGTTGTCCGTATACCAAGTGGAGTCCAGCTGCTTGGGCTTGGGCTTGGCCAGCAAGAGTTTGTCCCGCTTCGACTGTCGATAGCTCTCGAAGCAAATGTTCTTCATCTTCTCCAGCTTCTGTTCGCGTATGCGCTCCCAGTTCTCCCAGTTCTTGTCGTTCTTGTTGCGGCCAGAGAGTATGAGCACATCCTTGTCCTTGTCCCAGATGAGGCCACCATCTGCATCGCTGTACTCAATGTTCAGACGCTTCGTCTCGCGGCTGGGCGATGTTTGCGTCTGTGATTGCGTTTGTGATTGTGCATGGGTAATGGGTATAGAGCTGCTACTAGCTAAATTGTTATTATCGGTAACTACGATTCTAATTCTACGCTTGGTCTTGTCGCCTGCGCCTGGGGCACGCGACGTTTGCATTGATGATTTTGCAGGCGGCTCTTCCTCTTCTGGCTGTCACACCTCCTGCAGATACTTGATGGGACAATAGCCCTGCCGATTGTCCGCCGAGCGCACCATGACCATGCCATTAACCTCATCGCCAGTCTAAACGGGAGCAGAGACAGAGACAGAGATGGAGAGAGGGGGAGAAGTTATGGCAAAAGTCTTAAGCATTGCTTAACTCTCACTTTATGTGCTACTCTACGGTTCTTTATAGTGGAACTTACCTGTATAACTATTTGGTCGCGTAACAGGGTCATGTTCTCGCCCCGCTCACCGTCGGACACCTGCAGATTGTGTGTCACCTGTAATGGCTTCTCGTTGGCATTGAGACGCACGCAGTACTTGGATGGAAAGAAGCCGACGCGTCCCAGCACTTTGCCCTTCCACCAATCCGGATCGGCGGTATCGATGACTGTCACCTGCGGACAAAGCGTTCTGTTAAGCAACAGCCATTAACTGCAGCCGCGCCGCAGCTACTTGTCCTTGCGAGGACACAATGGCAACCAGAAAAAAAGTAGTGGAAAAATAAAAACAAAAGCTGCCGTCATTGCTGCTCCTGCTGCTCGGCTTGGCTTGGCTTGGCTTGGCTTGGCTTGGCTTGGCTTGGCTAATGCATATGTAAATATCTTGCACAATTTGCCAGCGGCCATGGGGGCGTATGCGCAATCGCACTGCCAATCAGTGTATGTGTGCAGAAGCTACACTCCCCCCGCGCCCCTCTCAGCCCCCTGCAACTACTAATATTGCTATTTTTTTTATACTTTTTCTATTATTTTCCACTGTGTACATAATAAAAATGCGCTGTGTACATTATAAATGAACCAGTTTCTGCTGCTGCTGCTGCTCTTTGTTTTGCTCTCGGATTCGTTTTTGCACATATTGAATATATTGTTGTATATATACACAAATACATATGTCTCTATATGGGTTTATTTATGTGCGTTTGCTTAGACCAAGCAATTTCCTGGACTGCCATTGTCCTTGCTTTATGTGTTTGCGCGAGATAAATTCGCAGTTTAGCGGATTAAACAAAGCGTTTTTGCTTATTTATACACTGCCTGCAAAAAGTATACGCACACTGAATACTAACACGCTGCGACCAGAGGCTGCACTGCGCCTACAGAGTATGCAAAGCATATGGCAGACTGAGTCTAGCAGAGACTGCCAGAGACTGTAGCGTATGCAGAGCAAATATGAGTAAAGAGTCTGGACTATGCTGGGGCGTAGAGGCTGAGAGCGGTGCACTTCAGTTGGCTTTTTGATACAGAGCTGATAGCGCTTAAGCTCTAGTTCTCTAGTTCTTCTAGTTTATAGTATAAGATGGGAGATGGTAGTTGAGTGTAAGCTGTCTAGAACTTCGAGCCTTGCTGTTAGATAAATATTTAAAGAACCTAAATCAGTTTCATTTTGAATGGAACGATTTTTAATTTTTGGTATCGACCCATGCTTCATACACTCCTGTCATTGGATTAGAAACCCATACAAAATGTATTCACTGTGTGATTTAGAATGTGATCTATCGACTAGGCATTAATCGTCTTTGTTTTCTTTCTAAAAGCTGCAGCTAATTCTAGCTTAGCTAAGGCAAAATATGCCAATGATATAGCCCTTAGATTCATAAAACAGTTTGTTATATTTTGGACTCAAAATGTTCACTTTATGTCTGTTTTTTGCTGATCATTATTAGTTAGACATAAAAAACCAAATACAGTAATTAAAGCTTGCTAAGCTAATAAAAGTTTGAGATTAGAAATATTAAAAAGATCACATTGTCGTATTAGTTATAATAGATATAAATATGATTATAGTTAAATCTATATAAATATATATATATATATATATCTATATATACAAAAAAAAAAAAAAAAAAAAAAATATATATATATATATATATATATATATATATATATATATAGATAAGAAGATATTTGTGCAGTGTCCAACCAAGATAAATATATATATGTATAGTAGATCTATTATTTAGACATAAGGATAGTTACAATGGCTAGCAAATGCCAGTCGAATAGATTCTTCTGTCTAAGACATTCTGAAGCGCCAAACACACTAAACTTGAGACGCTTAAGAAAGCCATTGTTCGTGAGTGGGCTAAAATACCCGCAAGTCACATTCAGACAGTTTACAATGCGCTTCTTAATCGTCTCAAGTCAAGTCTCAAGTCAAGGCAAAAGGTGGTCCTATCAAACCAAAGTGAATTGATTCTGAATTCTTGATTATTTTACACAAGCTGCACTTTGAAATAAAGAAAAATCATTAACTGAGAGTAACACTAAGAGTATTAGACTGGGTATATACTAAAACTAGTTATAAAGATTACTATAGTCTAACTGATTATAAGAATATTTAGCACTAGGTATAAAGATAAATTAGATAAAAAGTTTCCCTTTGGTTAAGAATATATTCCATAGATAAATAGACATCTATGGACCCCTTTCGCATACCAAGGCAATTCTATGCAGGAGGAAATATGCCCCCAACTAGCCATAACAGTATTTCACAATTTTCCGCTGTTCCCTTTTATGCTCTCTCAGTTGCCAACACAATGTATAACTCACCTTATAGCCCGCTTTCAGATCCAGCTCATCGGCATGCCGCGCCTTGAAGTTGTAGAGTATAACGTACAAATTGGTGGGCAACAAACGATGCGATTTCTTGAAATTGGAAAGACATTAGAAGGCGCTGCTAATAAACAACATGCCACATAGAAACTGAAAAACTGATACAAATGGCAACGCAGTGCGAGAAAGAGAGAGCAACATAAAGTGGGGAGGCAAACAGAAGAGTGGGGGGAATACCTGGGCATGTCTTACTGGTGATAGGCAAGGCGATGTGCTGGCCGAGGACTGCGACTTCTCCATTTCATCGGGCAAGTCGACGCTGCCGCCGCGCATGCCGCGCGTGGCATACAGCAGCTTGCGGCCCGGATGCGAGGGGCTCGATGGCGCTGTAATTTAGATGGTTGCAAGAAAACGAAATTGCAGTGTTAATGGCCAACGGCACTGGCAGGCGAGGACATGCACAACACACACACACACACACACACACACACGCACACACACAGTGAGTGCGACTCTCACTGTGGTTAGGCAGTAAATTGAATGCACGCATGATAGAAAAGTTGCAAGATACAGTAAGATAGTTACAGTTAAATGAAGCAAAAGATACATAGATACATAGAGCAGGAAAGGTATGTGTGTGTCGATGTGTAGCGGCCGAGTGCTTCGAGCCAAGTTAAGCCTTAAGTTGAAAATATTCAATAACTACTCGAGGGATGATATTGTATGACTGTTTTTGATTTGGATGAATGGAACTTCGCAGTAATTTCTACAACTTTTTAGCTAAAGCTACGAGAAAATAAACAAAAGTATAAATTTAATTCAAGTTCAAGCTACATAAGGCCAAGAAAACTACATCAAACTTGAGCTGTGTTCAGTAAACGAAACAAAAATGAAAAAAAATGAAGAAGAAGCAATTGTTGTATTTAAGCAAACTTCTGCATAAAATCTTTTGTTCCATCTGAGTGTATTGTAGAAGATCTCGCACATATATATAGAGAGAGAGAGCGAGAGAGAAGTCTTTCGAGTCAAGAATCAGAATTAGAGTAGAGCAGTTTAAGAGTCATAGAACGCAGTTATTGGCTTGCTGAAGAGATATCGTTTAGAGTAGTAATTGAATTGGAGATTAGGGTGCAAACTCCGTTCGTGGTCGTGGTCGTGGTCGTGGTCGTGGTGTGGTTAGACGGTGAGCGGAAGCGGGAGCGGGATGGTTGGTTAGCTACTTACAGTGCAGCCGGCTGTTGTTCGACGGCGGAGTACTGTGCTCCAGATGGCCTCCCGAGCCGCCGTGATAGTAGCCGCTGGATGTGGATGCAGCTGCCGCTGCTGGCAAGTGCTGCTGGCGGCGTCTAAACTGACCATGCAGCTCCGACGATTCAGGTGAGTCCAAGCTCAACGATTTCATGCGCAAATTCAGCTTTTGGCGGCGCGGAGAGTGCGGTGCTGTTGTCGATAGTTGTTGTTGTTGTTGGTGGTGTGTTGGTGTTGGTTTTTTTTGGATTTTTGATTTTCGGATCAAGTGTTTTTTTTGGAGACAACACATGAGTTTTTTGTTTTGGTTTTCATACGAAAAAGCGATAAAATGTATAAAAAAATTTGCAATTTAATTTAGGTTTTTTTCAGATTTTTCGTATACTATATTTTTGCAGTCTATGCAGTCTACAGCTCTAGGAAAACAAATAATAACAATAGTTAAGTACAAAGGAAAATAAGATACGAACTAAAGACAAAGAATAAATTTTATATGCGTTACAATTTTATTGCTGCTAAAAACTGAAATGGAAACGAAACAATTGGACATTGATAAGAGACAGATATATATTTTTAACATTCAATAGACAGAGATAGAGAGAGAGAGATAGAGAGCGAGATAGACAGCAAGTGTTTCAGGTGTGTATAACAGGTGTGTCTGTGTGTGTCTGCGTGTTCATAGGCGCCCCGTGCCAGCTGCCAACAATTTTCGTGTAGTTCAGTGTAAGTGTTTGTCGACTCTTGACTCTTCATATACAGTTTAGTTTTTCTTTTATTCATATTTTCTTTTTCACGTTTTATTTTTCATATTTACAACAATCAGATTTAAGCATACAGTGTGTGGCGGTGCTTTGATAAAATACTAAAAAAATACTTTAAAATACATTAATAAAAAGCTGACGCACACTCATGCTACTCGAGCTAATCTAGAGAGAGTATGCTTAGTTTAGTGTGTATTAGTTTGAGTACTTTATAATAATTACTGTGCTTCAATTACATTACATAAAACTAAGGCTAAGGCTTTCAGACTAAGGCTACGGACACAAAGAAAAAGTAGATCAAGACTGAGTGCTAAGGCAAGACTTAAAAAATAATTAAATTAAATAAAGAGAGAGAGAGCAAAAAAAAATAAAATATATTCAGATGTCAGCTTGTTGTTGTTGTTGTTGTTGTTGTTGTAGTTGTTGTTGCTTGAATGAATTTCTATTTGAATTTCAATTCAAACGCACGCGTCGCATGGTCTTGGACTCGTCATTGAGACTGGGCTCAGAGCTCTTGAGCGTGGTTCTGGTTAGCATCAGCGGCTCGCCGAAGGGACGCACAATATCGGGTTTCGTCACAGCTATACATATTTATATATATATATATTGGTGTATATATAATCATTATATTTGGATTTATTTTATTATGCAGAGCGACGATTGTTAGAGCTGCTTAGTGGGCTTCGACTGTGGCATGCGAAAGCGTATTAAAACTAATTAAGTTAAACGAAGACAAAGCAAAAGTATTAAACATTAAGACGCCAGCGTTCATGCATAAAACAGACACTGTCCGCCGGGCACAATGTAATAGACCAGCGCCGGAGACAGCGAGAGAGAGAGTGAGTGAGAGGGAGAGTAAAATAATAATCCTAGAAAAATAAGTAAATGCGCGCGCCCAGCCTGCGACTTGTGCCTAGCTCTGGCCTGGATGTGCCCCAAGCTAAAAACTAACTCGGACTAGGGCCCCGCAAAGAAAACATGCAAATGGACGCGAAAGCGAACAGAAAAAAAGAGGAGAAAGAGAAAGAAAAATGAAAATCCCAGTCGCAAGTTCCAAGTCTAAAAAGCAAAGGGGCTAAATAAAGGCAAATGCGCGCCACAACAAATTTCAGCATAATTATGTTGCAGCCAACTTGAAGTGGACGAGGAACACCACCACCAGCAGCAGCAGCAGCAGCAGCAGCTAAGCAGTTCGGAGACAAAAAAGTGGAAAAGTTCTGCGCCTCTTACTCGTGCCAGGCTGCGCATAGATCAGGGAATGCCATTAAAAATGCGGCAGATATTAAGCAGAAATGAACTCGACTTCCAGCTCCGAGCGCAACTTCAATTTCGTGCACTGCAAAATGGCAAAGCCAGCAGACGGCCAACTTGCAGTGCCGCAGCTTGCGCGATATACCCTGTAATTGTGAAGAGCTCAAAGAGCCTATGGCTGCAGTCATCAAAATTAGCAATGGCTACAACTGTGCACCTTCAGTTTGCATATTCAAATATCCATTTATATATCGATAAATATCGATGTCGATTTATTAGATGTCTGCTGAGTTTATCCAGCTATAATCTAAGCTTGCGAAATTATAATAAAGAAACTAGTTATAGAGGCTACAAATCAGTTCTAATCTAAGATTAAATTCTCATTTTGTATAGTGCTGCTGCGAGTTGAGCATGTTCAACTGCATCATCTGATATGCGAATCACTGTGAAGATCTCTTTTGCAGGGTAAATGCTAGTTGTGCATGCTCAGCTGCTGCATTTTTAATGAGAGTCTGCTTAGTATAGAAAAATTTAATTAGTTTTAACTCAAATTTTGTAGCTCTAACTTTACCACAGGGTATCTACTAGTCGAGCATGCTCAACCGCTGACATGTTATCGCTATTCTAAGTAGCTTATAGTATGCATATAGTCAAGCATGTTCAACAGCTATTCTAAGTAGCACATGCCTTATTTATAGGGCAACTGCTAGTCGAGCATGCTCAATGTTTTAAATTTTTACTGCTGCTCTAGTTACTATAGATCAGTTCGAACTAAACTCTTCTAGTTCTCACTTTTTACAGGGCATTCGCTAGTCGCGCATGCTCGGCTGCTGCATTTTTATTGCTATTCTTTAAGCCTTCTTCTTGTTGCAGCGTAGTACACAAAAGCTGACAATGGGACGCAATTTACACGGCACAGACGCTGCAAGTTGTTTCTTTAGCTGCTTTTGCCAGCGTCGAGTACTTTTTTTTTCCTTTTCTGCAGAAGGCAACTCGGCCATGTATACAAATTATGCCAATGTGCTTGTAATTGCAGTTGTTGCTGTTGTTGCCGCTGCTGCCGGAAATGAGCCGTTTGCCTGAAGTGTAAACTGGGTTAAGACTAATTGGCGTGCTGGGGCCCTTTGTTAAAGTGAAGTTTGGTTTTTTGCGACGCGTCTCTAACTGGAAATTAAAGTAAATGAAATGCATTTCGGTTGGGGGTGGTTGGGTGCAATTAACTAAGGTGTAACACTTAATACACTCGCACACACACACACACACACAAATGCACGCACTCTAAACAATACAACACATACAGAGAGACAGAGAGAGAGAGAGAGTGGGCACATATAGGAACAGAATGACAGACAGAGAGAGAGAGAGAGAGAGACAACAATAAAACACTTGCTAAATGCACACGAATTAAACATCCAATTGGAATTAAATGCAGTACTATTCCAATAAGAACAGCTGCTTGTTCGAGTTGTTGTTGTTGTAGTAGTTGTTGTTGTTGTGCTGGTTGATGAACTGATAATTGTTGTTGAGGTTGTTGTTGTTGCTGTTGTTGTTGTTGTTGTTGTTGTTACAGTTGCTGTTGCTGTCGCTGTCGCAATACAGTTAGCAGCACTCTCAAACGAATAGTTGCCGCACAAATCGCTGACGGAATGTGTTGCACGTTGCGTACGCAAGCAGTGGAAAGGTGTTTCTGGTGTTGGGCATGTTGTATCAAGGTAATTGCCGTGTGGATAGTGATGGTAAAAGTGATGGTAGTGTTGGTGTTGTTGTTGTTGTTGTTGTCTATGTTGTTGCTGTTGCTGTTGACTGTATGTGACGTAATTACTTTCTGGCAATGATATGGAGCGATGTTGCTGCTGCGACGAGCGCTGCTGTCGCATGCGTCCAAAGCCCGATAAAGGTCGAAAGCCGGCAAACAAACGACGCCGCACTCCAGGATCATTTTGCAAATAGCTGCAAGAGATTGGCTGCTGCTGCTGCTGCTGTTGTTGTTGCTGCTGATGTGCTGGCGATGCCTGTTGCTGTTGGAATGATGTTGTTGCTGCCACAGATTGCTGTTGCTGCTGCTGCTGCTGCTGCTGCAGCGCGCTGGCTGTGTAGTAGTTAATGCCAAAGCCGCTGCTGATGTACGCCGAGCTGGACATGTTGCTGACGGGCGCGTAGGGCGTGCCATAGCGTTGCACTTTGTTGTGGTTGTCGGATGTTGTTGTCAGTTGTTGTTGTTGTTGTTGTTCGTGTTCGCATTTTATTTATAGTTTTTTTTTTCAGAAATCATTTCAAGTTTTTAGGCAAGAGAAGGGACACGAGAAAACATTTTGCAGTGTGTTAATTTCGAATCAATAAATTATGTCTGTCTGTGTCTGCGTGTGTCTGTGTGTGTGTGTGTTTAATTAAGGCACTATATCAATATATAATCCCAATCCAATCTCAGTCAAATTGGCCAAATTAGCCAATCGCCAGTTTGTGCTGCAATAAACCATAAAATATTGTCGAGCAAAAGGCACCAAGGCACAGCAACAATCAAAGCACGCACACACACACACGCACGCCCAGACAGACTCACACATGCACACACTTTGCTAATTGGAAATGTGTTGCTGCAGCATTGCAGCTGGGGAAATATTGTTGCAGTTGCAAGTGACGAATCTGTCGCTAATTATGTGGCCAACTTGGCTTTGGGCCTGGCCAATAGACTCGTTGGTGACTAAGTGTGTGACAGTCAACGCTATTTAAGCTGATCGCCCAAAGCGCCAGTTGCTGTGCATGTGTGTGTCTGTGTGCGGCTGTGTGTGTGTGTGAAAATTGTGTTGCCAGCTGGCTGCGTCGATTTTCAATTGAAAATCATTCTTGCATGGTTGCCTTTGATATTGTAACGGGACATATGCACATACATATATATACACATGCATATGCATATACATATACATATACATACGCACATATATATGTGTTATATGCATGCACAGTTATATAGTTTCATACCCTACAAAACGTCGGCAGAGTTTCGTTCACAGCGTCCAATTTCAGTTGAAGTTTCATTTTATTATTTTTATAATTATTGTTCATAATTCTTATTGATTTATAATTGAAAATAGTTGATTAAAAATTCATTAATTATAGTGTATTAAATATTCGACGCTCTTTTATTATTCAAATTGTTATTTGGGTCACGATAAAAGATACAACGAGCCGAAATTCGTTTAAAGCACAGAAAATCTGTGCACAGAACAAAGTACACATATGCACACCCAAGGGAAATACACACTCCAACACGCACACCCACTCACTCACACATAGGAAAAAGAACAAGTCCCAAAGTCAAATAGTTATTAAATAAATGGACTATTTAATAGCTAAGCGCTGCTATTTAAATTTGTCGAAATGAGACTTTTATTAATGTTGTATTATTAGCGTATATAAATATATATATGAGTGTGTCTGTGTGTGTGGGCGTGTGATAATATATGACATGATTAGCATATACAAAATACATACATACTAAATACGTTAGTTTAGTTAAGCACTAGTTATATATTTGGCTAATTAAATGCTGTTGCTAAGCTAAGAACTACGAATCGGCAAATTAGCTAAAGAAGAAGCATATTTTGTTTATATGTGTGTGTGTGTGTGTGTGTACACAAAATGCATAGCTACATTGCTCAAGTGTGTATAGGTATGTGTATATGCCTGTGTCTGCATGTGTGTGTGTTGGTCAAAATCTAAATCGCAAGCGTAGGAGCAGCAACGGCAAGGCGAAGCAACGGGGCGTATGCGGAATGTATCTAACGTCAATCAGAATGAGCATTGAAATTGAATGTAATAAAAGTGTAATTGTGTGTGTGTGTGTGTGTGTGATTGTGACTGTGTGTGTTTGAGGCTAGAAAAGGAAAGGCGCTACTTGGCATTGAAACAAGTGCAGTAACAGCATTGAGCAGAGTTGTAGGTGGTTAAAAAGTATTTAAGGACTCAGTGTTACGGTGTGTGTGTGTGTGTGTGTGTGTGAGAGAGATGGAGTATATCAAATATTTGTAGCTAGATATATGCATGTGTAGTTTGTGTACAATACTTTCAACTTTGCTTTAAAGAATTGATTTACTTGAAGTCTTGATTTTTGGCGGGGGAAACGTAACGAAATGAAGAAATGTGGACTGAATTGATTGATGGTCTACAACAGAGTGGAGGGAGGGAAGAGAGAGAGAGAGAGAGAGAGAGTGTGTGTGTGTGTGAGAGAGAGCGAAAGAGAGGAGTGGAGAATGTGACAAAAACTGAAACAGGAGAGAGAGAGAGAGGGAGAGAGAGAGCAAAGGGCAATCAAAGCTACAAACCATAAAAATGTCAAAAGTAACTGCTCGAAATAAATAGATTTTGTATGAAATCATGAGACAGACAGAGAGAGAGAGAGTTAGAGAGAGAGAGAGACAACAAAACTACTTTGTTGTAATTTGTGTTTGTTTGATTTTTATTTTTTTGCGGACCTGAACTACTAGAGATATCTTGGGTGGGCACCGGCAGGCCGCCGCGTTGCTGCTGCAGCTCCTGTTGTTGCAGCTGCACGCCCAAAATGGGCATGGCCACGGGCGGTGGCCGGACACCACGGCCGGCCCGCACCGCCGCCGCCTGCGCCACCGATGCCAGACTGCGCTGATGGCTCTGATGTATCTGATGGGCTGCCTGATGCGTCTCCTGGGCCGACGACTCCGGCACATTGACGATGGGTATCTCGGCGACGGGCAGCGTACGCTCGACTAGGCCCGGCTGCAGCTGTTGCAGCGGCTGTAAAGCGGTGCTGGGCGCAGCAACTCCGACTCCGACTCCCGTTCCAGCGGCGCTCGCGTCCAGCGTTTTGCCCGGCACGTGGACGGATTTGTCGGCGGCTGGAATATGCCCGGATTTGAGTTCTCCGGCTTGTTTCAGCACACGATAAATTTGATCGATTTCGGTAATTTCTTTTTGGTTTTTTTTTTGGTTGATTGGTGCCGTATTAGTTGCCGTATTGGTGGGTGTTGATGGACGTGGGCGTGAACAGTGGTGGGCGTGGTTGGTTGGCCAGTTGTGGTTTGATACAATTTCGATACACAATTTGTTTTCGTTTTTCGATTTCGATTCGGGTGAGGTGCATTGAAGTGCATTAGTTAATTTTAGTTTCGGCAAGTGATTGAAACGAATGATGCGATGAGTTCGATCGATTATTATTGATGGGCGGGACTCGTGATATATAGATATATCTAGCTATATACATATATATCATATAAGGGAACTGTATGTTTTGTGTGTGATGAGCGATGTTTTTAGACTAGGCGAGCTTTACTTTCGATAACTCCACCTTTTTTGATTTTCAATAGTTCGCCTGCTCGAGCGCTTATCAAATATATTTCAAGTGTATTTATGTGAGAACTAACTTGTTATAAAAAGGAAAAGAAACACCTCTAGGTATGGCAACAAATGCTAAGTATGTATCGATTCTTTAACCAATTCAATACCCATTTAAAAGTAATCGATAAATATACAGATATATCTATGTGTGTGAGTGTGCGTGTACGATAGCTAGTGAGAAGAATTTGATATCTGATTGATTGTTTTTGGTTGTTGTTGTTGCTGTTGATGTTGTGGCAATAAGATATACTTAATGATAGCTCTATAGCATGCTCCACTACGCAATCTTATTGTTTTTGTTTTTGTATTTTTTTTTTTCGAAAAATCGATAATCGATAAATCGTTTACTTTTAGTTTAGCCTGCTTGAAATGTGTGTGGAATGAGCTTTTTGTGTTTTGAATTTTTTTGTTGTTGAATTTGAACTTGAGCTTGAGCTTAATAATATTTTGTAATATAATATGGAATATTTATATAAATTATAATTATTATTTTTTTGTATTCATTCTTGTCTCGCTAATTAGGTGAATCAAAGCGCAACAATCAATCATTGCATTAACCGATCCGTTAAATCATAGTATTAAAACATAAAACGATTAAGAACCAAACGAAAGAGAAATAATAGAAATCAAGTTACAATTCAAGCGCATGGCAATTGAGTATCTTTGCGCATACAATATAAGTATGGTATATACTATATAGAGTAATACAGTCGGTACCTAGTTGCGCAATGCGATTGATGAACGGCGTCTTTTGACGAAATTTCGTATTGGGCACATTCAACAGATTTGCGCTTTGATTTTGCTCATCGGCTGCGGCTTGACCACATTGGGGGCTAACGGACTCCTGAGGCGATGCTTTTTTGCGTTTTTTTTTAAATATTTATTTTAAAGAGATGTTTTTTTGTGTGTGTGGGTGGGAGGGAAAAGGATTTTATAGTTCATATTTATTGATTGTCTAAGCTAAATAAAATTTGTTGTTTTATTTTTTGATTTGGTCTTGTCAAAAGGCCAAATACACAGTTTGAGAGTTATGTAGAGGGGGCAGTTGCACACAAGACTACAGGTAAAAGTGTTTGCAAGGAACTCAAATTGTAGCTATATAATGGAACTTTCAACTAAATATTATTTTTTTTTTGTGATAATTCTTTAAGTTCGATTTAAACTTGATTTAACAATTTTTGGTGTTAACTCGAGCTGTGTTTTGGCCTTAAGCACTTCATATTTTCCCCAAAAACCCAAAACCAAATACATACAGCTGCCAATATGTAAATTATTTATATGTATATATAGCAGCTGAAAGTCTGCCATAAAAACCAGAAATAAATTGTAAAAAATAATAAACGAAAAAATTTTTTATTTTTTTTTTTGCGAATCGTTGCAGAAATCAGAAACGTTGCAATCAGTTAGTCCCACGACTGACATGAATCCATTGTGAGTTATCAACTGTTGCCCACAAAACAGTCAAATCAATATGCACACACAGAGTGAGACAGAGTGCGTGCGAGAGAGAGAGGGGCAGAGAGTGGGAGAGAGAGAGAGAGCAGGCATCTGCAACCGTACAACATGACAATTGTTTTCAGCTTGTGATTTTTTTGTTGATGTCCTTGTCGGGTCTAGAAGTTGTCATGCAATGGGCTGGAAATAATGCCATACACTTGTGAAAGGTTCACAAAATGCACAATTTGCAGTAACTGGATCGGGCGGGGCATACACAACTTGCCAATCAAAATACCCAAACACAAATAAATGGAACAAATTCAAAAAACTTAAACAATAAAAATACGAAACATGAAAAAAAAACAACAAGAAAAACAATTCAATTTTTTAGCATAAACACTCAAGGGTTCCACGGCATGGAGGAGGTTATAAAAACCCATGTTGCCTATGGGACAAATTGTTAATATATGTACAATACAAATTGGGCCACAGCAGCAGCGAGCCAAGCAGACAGAGAAAGAGAGAGAGAGAGAGAAGTTGACAGAGAGAGTGTGTGTTATTTTGTTTTTTTTTCTTTTTATTCTTCTGGGTGGGCAAAGGGGCGGAGCGAGTGATGAGCTTGCGAGAGCGCGTTTTGCTTGTGTAATTATAATGCTTGGAAAATACTCACTTTCTTCCTCGATATCAACGCGATTCTCCAGCTCGGAGGTGCTCTTCTGGCGACGCAGCAGCTTCTGCTTGGGCTGGCAGCGCGGCAAATTTGGAGCACAGTCTCCATGGGCATTCAGCTTGCAGATGCGACAGCGCAGGCCCTGACGAGTGTGGCCTATAAATGAATACGTTATCGGCTAAGGTACTCCTCGCCACAAAGACATATATATATATATATACGCACCTCTCAAAATTTGCGAGCAAACATCGCAAGCTGTTATCTTTTTGTATGTGTACTCCTGCAAATGATGGCTGCCATCCAAGTTGGGGCGCAGCGTTTCCGATGGGGCATTCGAGGCACCATTACGCCTGTAGAGAGTGCAATTGAGATGGCATCAATATAAGCACACACACACAGACATACACTCACACACTCATACACTCAAATGATATATATATGCATTGAAAATTACAACTCAATTGAATTCAATCCAATTCACAAAACTGTGTTAAATGTTGCGCCTTTGCTTGGACTAAACAAAGCAAATATAATTATTGTGTCAACCACAATAAACAAATATTTATGATATATCTATATCTATATATATATATATATATATACATATATATATGTCGAGCATATGTGCGTGCTGCAGCAGCATATTGAAGTGTAAATTTGCATTTTGTAGATAAATTCTGTGGCCGTAGCTGTGGCTGTGTTTCGCTCTGGCTTTTGTTATATTATTATTACATATAACTGCGCACAATGACAGCAGCTAACAATGCCAAACGCACAATGGACAGCCTGAACATTAATCACAGCGCCTTGTTTAAACATACAATAAGTGGCCGAGCATATATGCTTATAAAATAAATACATTTTAAACATTTGCTCACTCTAAAGTGTTGAATTGCTAAGGAAGGGGAGTCGACAGAGGGGCTTTTGAGATGAATACCTAGCTGAGCTTATTTATATAATATTATGTATTCTGCTAAGCCTTTAAAGCAATTGTCTTTATTTTCAAGGGAGGTAGACATAAGTCCTTAAGTAGAACAAGTGAAAGCTTTTTATGTTAACGTACTTTGGGGCACGTTTCAATGTGCATGCGTTAGTTTAAATCGAATTCGTTCAGGCCTAAATTCTAATGTATATAGGCCATATATCAAATCAGCTATGATTTCCATAGAATTTATTTTTGCAAATACTTTTTCTTTGCCTTCTGTATAAGTCAAATATGTATTAATTTGAATGACTTGCATTCTAATTTAATAATTTTACAACAACTGTCTTCCACTCACAGCCATAACGACCGTATCGCCTAAGTAGCTATCTCGCTCTAACTCATTGACAGTCGGCAGTATGATCGGCAACAGCAGTCTGTGTCACTCTCGCTAATCGCGCTCTCTTCGCCCACTACAAACATAGCCTAATCAGCTATCTCGCTCTCGCTCAGCATTAAGCGAAGCTACATTCAGCAACAGCTATCTGTGTCGCTCTCAGTTGGAGTGGATATAAGCTAGAGCAGCTAGAGCAGCTAGCAACTAAAACGCAAACTCAATCGAATACTATTTTTAGCACAACTCTATGCAAGCTCTGAGTCTCTCACTAATACTACTGCAAACTGTCCACGGTCATTGCTATTAATTTCATTATATAATAGTAATATAACATATATACACATGTATATACTATCTCATTTGTGAATACTTTTTTTTTTATTTATAAATATCACTTTCAATTGCCACACTTTGCATTGCCATTAATCCTAACTCAAATCAAATCAATTGCTATAATAAACAAGCCGAAACTATGCTAAATTATATTTATCTTTAATCTCCAAACTTGGCTAAAAGGCAATTTAAACTTGGCAAATGCTTGTCTATATTTAATTATGTTTGCTGTATACAAATTTTTGGCTGCAGATCAAATGTGGAGAAACCACAAATATAGCTATATGAAAATATGACCTATGCTTCAGAAGGCCTCACATTTATAAATCAAATGTATATAAATTGCTTTTAGTATTTCAAAAAGAGATTTGAGAAATAATTTGTATACATTCCTATTAGAACGTTGGCAAGATATTCAAGAGAGCTGACAACATCAACAATTCCAATTGGATTTTTGTTTTCGTTGAATCCATGTTTCCTGCAGAGCATCAACTCTTTGGCTTACCGAATAACCAATCCCCACTGCTGTTAATTTAGCTACAATCAGAATGCTGTGCATCAAGAAACGTGATATACGAAATCATCAAATGAATTGTATGTATAACCCGTTGCTTTATTTCCTTTTCGTGTATCTCAATAATTTGATGTCATATTTATATGCATAGCATTTGCCCTCGAATATAACCAATTTGTTGTTTTTATGTTCCTGCTGATGTTGATGCTGATGGGGTATTTCCTCGCTCTGGCCCTGTTTTATTTACCAGAAAAGCATACAACCAACAGTTGGACGGACAAACAGACAGCCAGAGAGACAGAGCCTGGGACATATAGACAATACGCCAGACAATGCTGCAATTGTGTTCACAGTGGGCGGTCGAGAGGGTCATGGCAGAGAGCCAGGCCGAGACCCAGGTTGAGGACCAGGCCCAGGCCCAGGCCCAGTCGCATTCGCACTCGCAGTCGCAGTCACAGGCACAGGCACTGGGCCAACAGCCATGACGCGAGAGTGGCAATGGAAATGGGCCAACTCTCGACGCTGATTGTTTGTAAGTGGCTTATATTGTGCACAAACAAACAATTCAGTTCAGTTCAGCACGCTGGCTTATAAAGTTGTTGTAAACGTGTAAAATATACAATTTTTTTTTGCATAAATATATATATAAATATATGTATATATATATATAGTTGTTTATCCTTTTCAAGTTAAGTAATTACCATTATATATATATGGCAATAAATCTGCTGTACGTGCTTCAAGCGAATGCGCAACATTTGCTACAAATTATAAACATTTTTCTTTAAATTTCAATTCAATTTTTTTCTTATTTAACTAAAACTATTACATATATAAAATAATTTGTATTTAATATAGCTTAAGAGTAAACGTTCTTTAAAATAAAAATTAGATTCGTGTTCTGTACTATTATACATAAACATACACTAAAGTTGGTTATTACTGCAAGCTACAAAAGTTATTCATGACTAAATACGTTCTAGTTGTAGCTCTAGCTTATGCAGACTCTTCAACTTTTACATAGAATGTGCTGAGCATGATTAAGTCTGCTTTTCCTATTAAATCTGTTTTCTCTGCCAAATCTGTTTTCTCTACCAAATATCTTTAATTCACTTTGGAGTTAACTTCCTATTACTATATCTACTATATTTTTCTTAAGAGAAGTTCGTCAGATTAAGTTTAGATTGTTCAATAGGACCTTCCTCTACTAGACGAATCTTATTCACTCCTTCACATTATTCAACACTATTCCCATGCAGCTTATGCTTACTCTTCTTCTCAAGCATTTTACAATACTCTAAGCAGGTCTCATATTATATATAGAATAAAACAGAATATATGTTTTAACGTCCAAATATCTTTGTCTGTTCGTCTATACTTCATTAAAAGTTTTCCAATACTGGTTTCTCCAACCCCATCAATGAACTCGTGAACTGAAAACTAATAAGAATTTTTACGCTGACTTGAGCTCAGCTTATAAATACTAGAATAAAACTTACCCACTATTATTACTCTACATTTCCATAACACTTTTCCAACACTACTCACACTCATTCACCTCACTTTTTCGATATCAACTTCATATTTGACTGGCATTAACACGTATTAAACTAAAGCCTACTTAGTTGAAACTCAGTTAATCCAAGTTCATATAGATCACACATACATATATACACTCTATAGTTAGATATATATATGCTATATATATAAAGGGAATATACATTGGTAATAAAAAACTAAATACATTAATTCTGGATTTATGGTTTTTATACTTTGATATATATATATTAGGTAGACGTTTACAGGGTACACTAAGTACTAAGTGTTTGTGTGTGTGTGGGTGGGTGTGTGAGTGTATTATATATTCAAATTGTGAATTACATGATTTAGTTCGACAGTTTTTTTACTGGAGTTGCGAATTGCAGTTGCAGGGGTTGAAATTGTAGCAAAATCAAGTTTTACTCTTAATCAACATAATACGAAAATGAGGGCCATAAAATTAATTATACATTTTTCATTAATGCGCAAGTAAAAGTTTTATGAAAACCAACAAAAAATTGACTAAAACAACAACAACAATATATTGTGGGCTCCAAAAAAAGAAGGAACTGAATGCGGACTGCTGACTCTTGGCTGGCTTAACGGGGGCGTATACGTAATTTGGAGCGCAATGCGAAAAGTTTTGCAATTTAACAAAAGTTGAACTGTGATTTTCTTGTCACGTTTGTAAATGTTTATATTAAATCTTAGTGCCAGTGCCCTTATGAACGAGAACTAATATACTATTATACTATGTAATATAGACAATCGCGATCAGTCGTTCGACCTGTAAAGACGTGAATTCGAACAGCCTTCGCTTAAGCTCTACTGCTGCAGAGTTCTAAAAAATAGAACTTTGCGGTGCATTCTTCAACGCAACAGCAACAAAAACCGCACACGCAGCGTTTTCTTATCGCTTGCTTCCGCGTAACTCAATTGCTTTAATTGCAATTTACGAAATTTCGTCGCTTGGCGCGAGTGCGCCTGCACTCAAAAGCACAATCCGCGATGACATCTAATGTCAATGACCCCGCTACAGCTGTAAAGGTAAATGCAGAAATGCAAGCCCAGCTTAACGTTGTGATGGCAAATAGGCAAGCCTCCATCATGCCAATAAACTCAAAAATAGATATCGCCTCCGTGCAAGGCATCACTAACAACAAAAACACGAAACGTAAACAGCCAAATTCACCAAAAACCATCAAGAAAAGGCTCATCTTCGACGAACCAAGCACCAGCAATGCAGCATTAATATCAGAAAATCGATTTTCACTGCTCGTAGAAGAAGATGAAGACTACAGCGAATCACCTGTAGCTCCAGAAGCCCCAGTATTGACCGACCAGCAAACTACACCGAAACCTCGTCCGCCCCCCATATGGTGTCCAAACATCAAGTCTGTGGCCCTACTTCAACAGATAATAGATAAAGTAATTGATGCTAAATCATACGTAATTAAGCCAAAGAAGAATAACATAGGTGTATTAACCCAATGCAGTGAGGACTATCGCAGAGTTATAGACCACTTTACTAAGCTGGAATTGGAGTTCCACTGCTACCAGCTTAAGGAGGACAAACCATATAGAGTCGTGTTCAAAGGGCTTCACTCCAGCACTGATACAACACTAATTAAAAAGGAATTGGAAA